TCGCCAATTATCCGAATCGGTCCTCAGCGTAATATAAAAAATTAAAACCAAGTAATTTTTATTTTGTATTGGTGTAACAAGTTGGAACTCGCAGGAGTCTACATATATTTCAACTGAGCGTTATTAAAGAACCGTAAACACAGTTATTAAAGTTTATTCTATGTGTGACAGTTCGTTTTTAACATGCTTTTTCTTTATTACCAGTCTATGTCCGATTATCCGAATTTTCGATTATCCGAATCGACCCCAGTCCCAATTAATTCGGATAATCGGCGTTCTACTGTATTTATAAATTATGACACATTATATAGTTATTTAATTTTTAGCGTTAAGAGTCGCATCTCAAACTAATTTGAAAATTATAAATAACTTGAAAAAATCGAACTGCCTAAGGCATCGTGGGTTCAATTCCCGCCTTAGGCAATTCGATTTTTTCAAGTTATTTATATTTTTTCTGAAAGGTATGTTGGCCATGTAGGTAATCAATAATTCTTAGGATAGTATAGGAACCTAACCTACTATGAAGGTTTTCCATAATGAATGCATACTTACCTACATACGTACCTCATTACAAATAAGTAGATTAATTATTTTTTCACTAGACAGCAACCCTAACAGCGTAAGAAGAGTTCAGAGGCACGCGATAGAAAGAGACAAAACTTGTAGGTGAATAAAATTGTAGGTACGTAGTGCTGTGCGAGCTGAATTCCACTGTATCGCGTCGTAGCAAGACTCGCATTTATTTAAATCGTCTTGCGGAGTAATCCTTCTGTACCTGTACTATTACTTATTCTGTGGTTGAACACAATGAGGGCTATAGTTTTTATACTTAACAGTTGGCACCCCTGGCGATTGACAGGACCTTACTCTACAGTGGCGCCATCTTGATCAGTGCAAATGCGATAGTCTCCTACCACTTTCGCGCTCACCAGTTGGTGCCACTGTCTTCGCTACTAGCAAGTGACAGGACCTTACTCTACAGTGACGCTAACTGGTGAGCGCTAAAACGATAGCCCTCATTACATTTCCATAACGCGTTTCTTGCTTAACTCAAGGGCTCTATCTACCAAGTAAACTACAAATTTTAATAGAGCTATTATTAATTAAATTATCACTGGGCAAACTTCAAATTCCACTGTCCACCGTGTCTCTTTAAACAACAGACATTGGCGAAACTAGTGTGCTTAAAATACGCGCCATTGAAGCCATTAAACATGAACATGAAACTTTTTTGAAGTCGGTTAAAAATAATAATACAGATATTTAGCAGAAAGGTAACTAGCAATCTTTATTTGTTAGGTACTGGTCAACTGGATATACCTTACAGGCTTACAGGTTCCAGCAAATTATGAAATATTTTACTTCAAACTTTGCAGAACTCTCGATGAGGGCGTATACAACTTCTACAACATCCCGTACGCCGTGCCGCCCGTCGGAGAGAAGCGATTCACCTACGCCCAGCCCCTCAACCTGTCCACGTGCTGGAACGGCACCTACAACGCGCAGCAGCCGGGCCCGCTGTGTCTGCAGTTCCTGGAGAACGGCACCATCGCGGGCGAGGAAGATTGCCTCACGCTCGACGTGGTCACGCCGCACGTGCGCTACGACTCGCCGCTGCCGGTCGTCGTCCTCATCGGAGCCAACTCGCTGGCCGGCGGCGTGAGCCCCGCCCAGCCGTCCGCTCTCTACGCTCGCACCAAGGAAGTCGTCTTCGTCAGACCCAACTTCAGATTAGGACCGTTCGGATTCCTGGCGCTCGACATCATTTCCAACTCCAAGTATCCGCCCACCTCGGGCAATTACGCGCTCAGCGACCTGCTAGCCGCGCTGCAGTGGGTCAAGTACAACATCAAACATTTTGGAGGGGACGCCTCCTCCGTCACCCTGCTGGGACACCGAGCGGGCGCCACCCTGACCGCCGCCCTGACCACGGTGCCCAAAGCCCAGCAGCTGTACTCGAGGGTGTGGCTGTCTTCCGCCTCCGTCATATTCCCCGGCGAACCCCTCGACCAGGCTCAGAAGAACAACGAACCGTTCAAACAGAGAATCAAGTGTGACGACATGGAATGTTTGCAACGGGCGTCGACGACTGAAATTTTATCCGCCACTCCCGACATCTGGCTCGGCGACAACGTCGGCACGTTGCCGATCGCTGGCGAATTCCAGCACTCCTGGTTGGTATTGGACGGACACTACTTGAGGGTGCACGCCTACGAAAGTTGGAACGCCCAGAAGGAGGCCAAGAACGCGGGCAAAGAGAAGCTATTCAAACCGATGGTGTTCGGAACGACGGAGCACTCGGGCCACTCGGAGCTCCTGCACAAGAAACATTTGAATTGGACCTCGGAAATCGTGGAAAAAATGGTGAACGAGAGCGCGATCGGGGAGAAGAATTTGACTTCGAAAATATTGAACCATTTCAACAGGAGCTACGACGGCCTGGTCGGGCTGATCTCCGCGGTGCGCACGCTGTGCCCGCTGGTGAGCCTGGCGCGCCTGCGGCTGGCGGCGCCCATGTATGTCGTCATGGGGTCGGGCGCCGGCGCCGGCGCGTCGGGCTCGGGGAAGGCCGGAATAAACGCCGACGTGGAGGCCATCCTCGGCACGTTCGACTCGGAGGAGCCCGAGCAGCGCCGGTTCATGGCGGCCATGCAGCAGCTGTTCTACTACTTCGTGTGGCACGGCCTGCTGCCCGGCGCGGACTCCGGCCTGATCGCCGTGGGCCAGGACCAGCTGCCGCTGCACGGCCTGCCGGCCTGCGACTCGCTCATCCAGGAGGATTTAGTGCCGAGGTATGCGCATATCGATTAGTCGCTTAAAGTTAAACGTATCCACGATCATAATCTTAGCTAGAATAAAAACGTTTCGCCAGGCATATTACATAACGTTAGAATTTAGCTTACGCTCCGGTATTTGTAAGGATAAGTTAGCTACGTGTCGTTGTAGATCACCTTCTCAGTTTTGAAAGTCGTTAGCTTTGACCCCGACCCGGTATTATTTAAGCGAGGCTGAATATCAACTTTTAGGTAGGGATAAAATCGGGATGAATTTTTTCCAGGCCCCACGTCCATTCTTTTATCATGAAGTCGAATTCATTGTTGCATCTGCAAAAACAAAATCGATGATTAGAGCACTTGTATCTTTGGGACCGAATAGCACTGAAGCTTTTAAGATTTATTTTTAATGTAAAGCTAATAATAGGTAAGCTAGGCAGCCAGCTGTAGGCTAGGGTGAGTGTAAATACATAAACATGACGGATTCAACTCATCTTTTTAAGTTATCGAATCATTAATATAATGTGGTACGTCCTAAGTTGCAGCTATAAAATAGGCACCTCGAGTACACGAATTTGTATTTTAATATTATGATCTCAATCCAAATCTCATGACATAATACATATTCAAGTACATTTAATTACGTTAATACATTTAGTAACGTTTTTTCATACAAAAATTTACTGATTTTGGAAGACTGATTTTTTTGATAAATAAAAATGTAAGAATCTCTTGTTTTGTACCAATGTTTATTATGACCTACTAGTTTTAAGAATGTTTGTTAGGTAAAAAATTTTAGAAACCTTTTCGCGCCGATTTCTCGTACACTGATGAAAGTGAAACATTCTGATCTGCGTACAAGAAAATGGGAGTGTCTAGACTTAAAACCATAATTGCATAATACTGTATGGTAGTTATAAGAACTTTTATATCTTATGTTACCTACCCTGTAAGTTACTATTCTGTGCTGCGCTATCTACTCATCGCAATCGATCTAGTATTTTATTGTAATGTACTTACTCTGTCATTTGTAGTCTTCCAAGCCAAAGAAATTCGTTGTAGTCATTGCTATGGTTAAAGCAAACGAGCCAAAACTTTTTATCTATTTATGGAATGTGGCGCGGGAGTCGGTCGGAATCGGAACACATTATTGATGCCATAATGGAATTATAATCGCCATAATAATTTAACCTGTGTCAGTAGATATGTTTTCTCGGTTTTTTTGTAGTAGTAGTAGTATTTCTTCCAATAAGTCATTATGAAATTCAAATCGTGATTTTTAAGTCTGATTTATTATTGTTCCAAAGAATGTGATTAAGTTATTAGTAGTATAAGATATTTTTGTAATTGATGTTTGTATCGATTTTATGTAATCACGCAATTCCAGTGTGAAAAAAACTGCTTGTTATACGAAAACAAACTGATTAATAACCAGATAAGACTCAGCTACTCCTAGGGCCGATACATTGTCGCATTAACTCTTAAAGAGATCTCGATTACAGTTTTGCTGATCCGAACTGACTGGAAATAATACAAGCAGTTTTTTTATATTTTTCTTGCCAAACCACGCTTTTTGTAGTGATACTAATAAAACCTAATCTTAAGTCGTGGCAGCAGCCCTAGATGTAATAGGTACTACCAGCGCAGATATATTATGGGATAGTGAACCGCGACATTTAGAGCGTTTCATCTCTCGCTCATTGTACAGGCTACGAGAGCGAAAGGTACTTATTGTGGTCCCGATTTTCTATCTCATTGGTACTTGGGCTGGTAGTACTCGCAGCTTTGCATTGTTTTGTAAATTAATTAAACTGACATTATTAAATAAAGTATGTAAGACTGATACTTGTTTTTATTTAAATCTTAGAGGCGATAATTTATCCTTATCATCCTTCCTTCGACTAGGTACAGGAAAATATTGAATGAATATCATTATTACAGGATTTGGAGTGTTTAGGGATAATTCGTGTTGTGTGCTAATTGGTTAAATAATTAATTTACGATAGTCGCTTGTATCATGTTCTAATTGTACGTAGATTTGTCGCAATTTAACATAGCTGACGACATATAGTATTTTTTTTTTATAAAATTCGGAAGAATTAGGTAGGACACATTCCATTCTTGTAGTTTTCAATAATAATGCGTCTGTTAGGTATCGATTGTAGAGGAATTAAAAGGAATATACTTTTATGATTCATAAATTAATTATATTATGTTACTAACATACATTTAAAAAAACAGTAATTTAACAGGTTTCAGGATTACAATAATAAATAAGGTCTAAAATACAATCGAAACATCGTACTTATAAAACAGAATCCTAATGTAAATAACCGATGATAAATAAATGAACAAATCGAAAAACAATTTAGTATTTCAACATTTCTTTAAAAATTCTTAATGATTACGTTCACGTAACGGCGAAATAACGGTTTGGACGTTCTCTTTACCGATTTTAAGAGATTTGCGCAAAACTGAAGGGGATTTCGGTTTGGCCTGAACTTGATCCATATCCTTCTTCATCTTGTCGATTATAGAAGATTGTTTGGCCACCGTCATGCTCAATTCTTCATTTTCTTGACGGAGCAGCGACAACTCCACCACGAGAGACTGTTGATCTTGAATCTAAAAGGGAGAATAAATTGTTATTTTAAGTAACAATAATCACATCGGACAATATCAAATCGGTGATTAACAGACATCCCGACCAAATTAAAGGCCAACAAAAAGTCTGTAGTCTGCAGTCTAATGAAATTGATGTTTAATGGGAATTAATTATCGAAGTTTGAAGTCGTAGGTCTAAAGAGTAAAGAACCACATACACTACTTTTGGCATCAATGACAGATTTAATGCTCAACGAATAGAATAATACTATACTTCCTACATTATTTTTAACTTTACTACCTCCCTCGTCTTAGACTTAATTTGTATGAAGAATCTGCCAATCCAATGTGCACACTTTCATAGTCCATACTGATTAACAGCCCGACCTAACTATCGGCCAACTAAAAGTCAAACTAAGACTAGGCGCAGACCACCGATTTTTAGTTGGCCGATAGTTGTGCCCGATTTTAATTTGTATGAAGAATCGGCCAAATCAAATCAGTGTAATGTGCGCACTTCGGAAGTGCGCGCCACTTCCATACATGCCCGTACTGATCAACTGCCCGACTAAACTAGCGGCCGATGAAAAATCGATGGTCTGCGCCTAGGCCAGAGCGGTTCCCAAACTTATTTTCTCTACTGCCCACTTTGAGAATAAATTCTTTTTAGCGCCCCCATTTGTAGTCGAGTGTCGAGTGCTCAGTCGGTGTCTAAGAGTCCTCCTAGTAAATGACGCCTCCCAAGCCTCTACACAACGTCCCGATTTTTTTTCTGGGTCTCTTACCGCCCCCCTTTAAGCCTGCAGCGCCCACAAGGGGGCGTTATCACCCACTTTGGGAAAGACTGGCCTAGGCTAAAACTCATCATCATCATCATCATCATTTCAGCCATAGGACGTCCACTGCTGAACATAGGCCTCCCCCAATGCTTTCCATGTTGATCGATTGGCAGCGGTCTGCGTCCAGCGCTTCCCTGCTACCTTTACGATGTCGTCGGTCCACCTTGTAGGTGGACGTCCCACGCTGCGTTTTCCGGTACGCGGCCTCCATTCCAGAACCTTTCNTTCGTTCGTCATCACATCTCTTGTCCTTTTCTAACACGCACATGATCAAATCATTCCTTCTTACTCGCTCGGTCACTTAGCAGAGCAGCGCTCACGGATTTCGCTCGAATGAATGAATGAAATTCATGCGATTCGTGATTTAGCAGTCTATGTGAAGAAAAATAGCAGGTGTGATTAATGAAATTCATTTCATATGATTTTTCACCTGCTATTCATGAAATGTTCCATGCCTACCTTGTCGAATAGTATCCTGTAGGTGGGCAATCGTGCGTGTTTTGTTTTCGATGTAAACTCGCGGAGATGAACAGGCCTGAAAGCAGTTACAATCAGAATGGGAAACCGCAAACCGATTCGCGTTTAGACCTAGTTCAGACAGCGATAATCGCGCGGTTGCTGGGCAGTTCTCATAAGTTTACATCGAACCGTAATCACGTGACAACCGTAACCGTGTTTGTGAACCTGGCCCTAGAAGAGCGGGAATTGGTAACCTCAACGTTTAAGACTTCCTCAATCAGAATGGGAGACCGATTCGCGATTCGACAGTTCTCGAATAGTTAACGCAGGCGAAGATGTGATAAAGTCAAAAGATTACAAACCTCGTCGCGAAGCTGCTGGATTTGAGAATTCGACTCCTTTTTCAAGAGCTCCACATCCTCGATCAGTTCATTTTTGATAGACCCGAGCTCGCGATACGCTTCCTTCTCCACATTCTGTAAACTCTCTATCAAAGTCACGTTATGCTCCATGATACGGTTGTGTTCTTTGGCTAAAGCTGCTTTGGATTTTAAGATATTTACGAGGNTCCAGACGCGCCACCTCGTTGGCGGCGTGCGCCAGCAGCGCGCGCGCCTGCTCCGCCGCCGCCGCCGCCTGCCCCGCGTGCTCCGTCGCCAGCTCGCAGAGCAGGCGCTTGTTCTCCACCTAGTCACAATCATCGTCATCAGGTCATTTATACCCGTTTTCACCATCAACTTCACACAATCACTTTTAGGTGACCCCTATGCACATAACAGGAATTTTATTTTCATAGGGGTCACTTAAAAATTAGGAATTGATGGTGAGAACAGGCATTAGTCTTCACTTCAAGAGCACGACCAGAGGCAAATGGAAGATTTGGTCTACACTCCCCACGTTGGCCAAACGGGTTTGGGGAGGCACTCACAATACAATGTTCCAATCAGAATAGGATATCGATACAGCCGATCAGAATAAGGTTGGTTCTGACATAGCGATAATCGCGCGGTTCTCATTTTACATCAAACCATAACCGTAAAAGTTTATCGCGCGTGTATAAACCCGACCTTAGAAGAGCAGGAATTAGCAACCTCCACCTTATGTAAGATTTTCTCAATCAGAAAGGGAGACCGACTCGCGATCCGACAGTTTCCAAACAGTAAACGCGGGTGAAGATAAAAGAATACAAACCTCGTCGCGAAGCTGCTGGATTTGAGAATTCGACTCCTTTTTCAAGAGCTCCACATCCTCGATCAGTTCGTTTTTGATAGACCCAAGCTCGCGATACGCTTCCTTCTCCACATTCTGTAAACTCTCTATCAAAGTCACGTTATGCTCCATGATACGGTTGTGTTCTTTGGCTAGGGCTGCTTTGGATTTTAAGATATTAACGAGAGCCTCCTTGTATTCATTACATTCTAATACAGTGTTATTTAAAGTGTTTTTATATTGTGCCAGCTCATTTTCAAGCTGATCTTTGGCATCATTGAGAGTTTGAACTGTATTTTCTAAATGTTCCAATTCGTTGTCAGACTCCCTCAGCCGCATTGTTAGAACTTGTACAATATCCCTGGTTACTGAGAGCGACATTTCAAATCTACTTTTCTCTTTTGCAGCCTTATCGATTTCAACAGTCAATTTATTTATCTCATTTTCAAAGTCAATGTGTTTAGTTTTAATTTCTTCTTTCAAGTCATTTATTTCTTTAATTTTGTCCTCTTTTTCGGTTTTCAAACAGTCATATTCACTTTTAATACTGCTTAATTTTTGCTGTAGCATTAAATTTTCTTCTTCAGCATGATTAAGGCTATATTTCAAATCTCTGGTTTCTTTTTCTAAATACTGTATTTTACTTTGCTGCTTCGCCCAATGATCTTGGATATTGCGGGTGCGTTCTTCAAATTGTATCTCACACAGCCTAAGTTTTTCTTCAGCAGCTTCATTAATTTGTTCTAGTTTAGCCGCAAATTCACGGTCTTTGGCTTCTAACTGATCTTGCAGGTCCTGAATTTCTTCAGTTTTTTCTTTTACTAATTGTGTCTTGATTGAATCTATTAAATCATTGTATTCGTACTTGATTCTTTCTTGATCGATTTTGTGTTTATTTATAATCGCTTGTTTTTCTTCCTCCGCTTTAGTTTTTAAAGTTTCTAGTTCTACTTTATATTCCCGGCGAATACTTTCATTAGCTTCAAGTGCAAGTGCATGATGCCCCTTTACCATTTCCAGCCTTTGGCGTGTTTCCTCTAGATTTGATTCCATGTTAGTCAGCTTTTCTTGCAAATCTTTGCACAAACTGTCTCTGATAGTAATTACCTCTTCCAGAGACGATAATTCTACTTGCTTGTTACTTACTTCTTGTTCCAATTTATCGCATTGTAATTCCAATTCTAATATAGTTTTCTTGAAATTTTCAACATCTCTGCTAAATTCCTTATTACCATCTGATTTATTGTCAGATTTTTCCAAGTACATGTCTTCCAATTTAGTTGTAATATTATTGACTGGATTTTTGGTAGAATTAATTTGAGCTTGAAGTCGGGCTATTTCAGTTTTCAGTTCTTCAATGTGTTTATTGTGTTCCAATATGGTATGATTTTTGTTTCTGAAAATTAAAAATAAGTAAGTTCACTAATGTAATAACAACTTTAAAATAGTAAATGATTATTAAGATTCTTCTTACCTGATTTCGACTTCTTGAGCTTTAACAACATCATCACTGATTTTGTTGATTTGTTTTTTCTCATTCCCATTTTTAGAGGGATTTTGCTTTTTGAGGCTACTTGTAACTTTTGAAGCTGTATGGGATTTTACTGGTTTTGGCTGGAAAATAATGGTAACATACATAAATAATTTGATATTATGACTCATTATCTCAAGAACTGGCTTAGTTATTATGTTAAAATTAATATCAAGTATTTATCCCTTCTCACTCTGTCCTGCTTCTTTATTCCTATTAGGCTTCTCTCCATGGCTCTCTGGCATCGTTCCAACTTTTCTCTGTGGTGTTTGGTGAGGGCCCAGGTTTCGCAGCCATATGTGATGACAGGAAGTATGCATGTGTTGAAGACTTTCCTTTTTATTTGCATGCTTAGCTCTTTGGATTTCAGGACAGAGTGAGAAGTAGCACAATAAGAGAAAAAACCAAAGTTATCGACATAATTACCCGAATAGACCAACAAAAATGGAGATGGGCAGGTCACATGATCCGGGACCCAGAAGAAAAATGGTGTAAAAGCGTCACTGACTGGTATCCCAAGGATGGAAAGAGAAGTAGAGGTTGGCAACAAACAAGATGGGAAGACGACCTAAAACTCACAGTTGGACACTATTGGAGAAGGGTAGCACGTGACAGGTCCCAATGGAAATCGTTGGAGGAGGCCTATGCCAAGAGGCAAACTGAGCTTCGGGATATTTTATAACACAGATCTTATTATTTATCATATTTTGTAACTATTATGTAACCAAGTTCAGAATAAAAATGCTTATTATTATTATTATATTTATCCCTTAAATTTCCATAATTAATCTTGGATCAATATTAACTTTATGGGAGTACTACTACTACTCAATATCAACAAGTATGGGTTTGGTGAAGCAAACGCTAGTCATTAATAAAAAAATAATAAAGAAATACATAATAAAAACTTACCGTAACAAATGATTTAATGCTGGGGGTAGAACTGCATAGAGATCTGGTGTCCGTGTTGGTTTTAGTTGATATAGTGCTAAGTGGAGGATTCTTTTTTACTTTTGAGGCTACTGGTTGTGTTTTGGCAATACATTTTGTTTGGTTTTCATTTTCTTGGATCTTTGGTTTATTTTGGGTTTTGGGTACAGCTGAAAAGAGGACAGTTATGTTTATCTTACTCATAGATATTACTCAAACGGTTATAAAGTTGATATTACTTTTAGAACTTTATTATCAATAAACTAACTAACGGTCGATCAAAGAAAAATAGTAGCACAGCTGATTATAGAAAAACAACAGAAAAATAACTTACCCACTGGTTCAAAACGTTTAGCTTTCGAGAACATGATCAAATTAACTATAAATTAAATATTTTTAAAACAAAAACATACGCTCTAATTAACGTCTAACTAAAAGTATTTTTGATGAACAAGCACAGCGTTCTCTTATGAAATCGCGCGCGAAAATGATTTTTTTTGACGGTCGCTTCAATCCTGACGCTACAAGAAGGGTGATTATTGATAATAATAATACACACCATTCATTGTATTCATTGTGTTGAAAATAACGAACCATTGAATGGGGAGGCAAAACGACCGTTACAAAAAGTCAACAACTGCGTGCATACGTTCCGTTTCACTGCGTGTGACAATCTTTCTACTGTTGTAAAACTGTTTAAAACTATTAATAAAATTCAGCAGCTGCTTTCATAATTTTAGTAACTCAGATAAACGTATAAGTGAGAAAATGTGTCGTCATAAATAAATTATTGCTTCTATTTTATGTGATTCAATTCAAGTGCCGTCCGTCACACCAAAGGTCGCGGGTTCGATTCTAGCTACTTGCTTCTTATAACTAGATGGCGCTAAATAGGAATATCATTATTTTTCACAATAACCCACATTTTTGTGGTAGGTGAATTTCCATCTATCTTACTTCCTAATCTATGTATGTATCTAGTCTCTATCTGTGTGATCTATGGAAGATGCACAACTTGTGGGTCTTATTAAATCAACATGCTACTCGATGTTAACTACACAATATGTTTTTGGTTAATTTTCATTTATCATAGAAAGTTCAAACTTTCAATCTAATCCAAATTACGAAACTACTATTTATTACAAACAGATAATTGTGAGAATTTTATGATATGAAAGAAGAAATGATGAAGTAAAAAAATATTCCTTTTATTATAAGATTTATTTTTACCTTACACTCACTTAACTACATTGAAGGTGGGGGTGGGGGTACTGGTAATAAGGGGGGAGGCGGCGGCACACCCATCATGGGCGCCCCAGGAGGGGGCGGCAGCCGCATGCCGTGACCCTCCCACATCTTAGGTGGTGGGGGAGGCATGCGTAACGGTTCTATTTTAAACGCAAACTGCAAGAAAAACTGCTTCGTATCCTTGTTCCAGTGAGTCCAAAACTTTGAATCATGCTTCTCCACTTCTCTGCTTGGCACCTTGAATGCGATTGTTTCATACGGCTCAGCAGCAAAGAGCAAGTATTGCCATCTGCGGTCTGGAGGTTCGATTTTTTGTTCATAAGCTGACATGAAACGATGCCTTGGCTGCACACCTTCAGCAATTTCTAAAAAACAAATTGGTATATTGTACACTTTTTCATACACTACACTTATGATATGCCTTATGATAAAAACATGACAAAGTAATCAAGTTATGGTTATTTTACTATGTTTCTGAATCCTCAAAAGGTAGTTTCGGAAAACCTGAAGTGATACTAGTTTACAATTAGAGTATTCCATTAAATTAATATATCATCAAAACTATTTTCAATTATCAAACATGATTTTCATATTGGGTAATTAAATTAATTGTTACCTGGGTAGTCAACTTGAAAGAGTAAGCTTTGTTGTCCATTTTCCGGGTCTTTTTGTTTAGTAACTCTGTAACCGGGCCTTCCAATTTTAACAAACTTCTTGGGTTCTATCCTTGGCTTTTCAGGGGCCAGTTGCTGAGGAGCTTCCTTGGCCTCCTTGGCCGCCCTGCGCGCGAGGTTGGCTTGATGTTTCTTGCCCTGAGTGTGGGCCAAGTAACTGCCCTCATTGTTGTGGAGTGTCAGACAAAGTTTACATTCATATGAGCCTGTGAAAAAAACATTTGTAAAATATGCATAGTTATATCTTTCTATATTCATAAAAGATTCAATTATTCAATGTGTATCACTTTAATGTGGACCACAAATACCTAAAGACAAAATCAACAGTGATGCTACATCATAACCAAAGAGGTATAGAAAATTTAAAATTAGTGTAGAACGATTAAAGGATATTTACCTAAATGATTTTTCATAAAATAGGGATCCTTATTTAGGTCTATAGTTTCCAAGGCAAGCTGGCGGAGCCTCTCGCGCCGGTCCCTGTTGCTTTCGGACCATGACGCCACACCACCACCACCGGTTTTGCCACCCGGTCTATTTTGGAAATCCATATCAAATGCTTATAGTCAGTTATTTTAAAAACCTAAAGCTAGAGTCGATTCTTTAAAACATTGTAATAGAATTAAATCGAAGAACATTAAAGTTTTTAACTTCGCCCAAATATACGCAGACAACTCTTCTTCTTCTTCTTTTATTTTGGCAACGACTTGGTATTGAGAACCATGATTTCGCCAATGTCACGTAAACAGCTTTGACAGAGTGTAACAGGGTTTACAAAAAACAAAAGTATTTACATTTCTAATTAAAAGCAAAATTATTATAATTATTTGTGTGAGTACCTTACGCAGACAACAGCAGACAACGCAAACGCAACGTGAATGACATTGACATTTTGTTTTTTTCTTCTTCTTCTTTTTTGATGATGTTGGCAATACACGTTGAGGTCGACTTGATTTGTGCCATTTATTTAGTTTTTTTTTTAATGACGTTTGCCCCCTAGAGAACTTGCACTTGATCGAATCGAAAATCGAATCTGGTTCACTCGAACTCATGCAACAATAGTATCAATCAACGCATAAGCAACTTCAGTAAGTAACTTTTTAAGATAGTTAACCAATAACCTATTGCTACCGGTGCAAGTTACCGGCACTGCTAGGCACATCACTATTGAAATTGTCAAAACTACAATCACTGGTTTTTGACGTTTTCTTTCTTTTCTATTGTCAAAGTTGCCGAAAGGTACATATCCGAGTGAAATCTTTATTTATCTTACAAATCGTGTAATTATTCCACCATATATCAAGATAATTTAATGTTTAATTCTATGTGGAACTGTGAAAAATTTATATTTAAGTAATAGTATTGAAAATTTTGGTATAACCTGTAAGTGCAAGTTTCGTGTTGTTTTTCAGGTACAGACTCAAGATGTTGATGCCAAAACAAAATCGTGTTGCTATCTATGAGTACCTCTTCAAGGAGGGAGTCATGGTAGCTAAAAAAGACTATCATGCTCCAAAACACCCTGATCTGGAGAAAATTCCTAACCTCCAAGTGATCAAAGCTATGCAGTCCCTGAAATCCAGAGGTTATGTTAAGGAACAGTTTGCATGGAGGCATTTTTACTGGTATGTACATATTTATTTGACTAAATACAAAAAGTTCATCATTTACATCTTACATAGATTTGTTTACTCTGAGGTTGTTTCTATGTAAAATACATTAGTCTTAATCTTGTCATTAGCAATTAGCCTCTTGCCTCATAAATACCACAATATAATTACATTATAAATGACATAAATAGTACTGTGTTTATAGAATTCCAATTTTGTTGGTTGTAACCGAAGTTCAATTCTCTAATTTTATGTAAACTAGCTGATAGGTAGTCTACTCATTAAATTTTTGTTTGGGAAGTATTAGAAAATAGCATTATTTTATTGTAGAAAGAGCACCTATTACAGGCCTGTGATACAAAAATACCACATGAAAATTAACTTTTGTTTTATAAAGAAGAAAGTAAAAGTATTTATTTGATGCAAGTATAAAATAAAATAACTACCAATACTAAAGGGTACAAGCACCAAAATACTACCTATTACTAATGCATGACAGTGTTTATTTACGTTTGTGTCTCAGCTGGTACGTTATTCCTGCTAAATGTAATGTCTTGATTTGTGCATTATGTAGATTTAAAGAAATCTATTTAATATCAAAATGTATATGTAATTTCAGGTACCTGACCAACGAGGGCATTGAATACCTGAGAATCTTCCTGCACCTGCCTCCTGAAATCGTACCAGCGACACTGAAACGCTCCGTGAGGACAGAGACCGTCCGCCGTGGAGCCGTCGGCCGGCCCGAGGGCCCCGCCCGCTCGGCTGAAGACCGCTCAGCGTACCGCCGCGCCCCTACTGCCCCTGGTGGAGGAGCTCATGACAAGAAAGCTGACGTCGGCCCTGGCTCATCTGAAGTCGAATTTGTGAGTATCATCATCATTGCAAATCAATATACTGGATTTCATTCAATGTTGCAGTTGTACTGTTCATTTACATTCAATATTATTGTTAATATAATGTATGCTGAAGAATCTTACTTATACCAACTTTTTTTGTTGCAGAGAGGAGGATACGGACGCGGCAGGCCTGCACCTTAATTTAAGCTAATAAAAAATATGTAATAACATATTTCTTTTATTTTCTATCACTACAGAAAACAAAACTTAGGCTGGGTTGCACAATCTTACTTTTACTGTAACTAACGATTACCAGTGTTTTTTGTATGGAATTTGACAGATTTTTGTGTATGCCAAATTCAAATTCAAATATATTTATTCATAAAACATAGGTACAAAGGGTGATAATTATAATTGCAGTGAGCTCTATGCTTAACCTATTCAGGTACGAATTATTTTGTGACTTCAGTCAGAATACATAATCAAAGGCCAGTGCTCTAAAAGGGAGGTTAAATAAGCTCTTGGATCGATAATCATCAGTAATCGACCATATGGCACACACTACAGCACTAATAAATTTGATAGGTACACAAATGATTATTACCAGTATAGTCCCAAACGTCTGGTCATAACAATACACAGTTGTTAATTATCCGAATACCTAAATCATATCCGACGTTCGAGTCTAGTTTTGGACGAAAGTCTAGTACATTAGTTAGGTAAGGCGTTGAAGTGGATTAATGTAATGTAACATTACATTAATCCACTTCAACGCCTTACCTAATGTTGTTGGCAATAAGTCACAAAAATAATTTATTTTATGCTAGTTGCGACAGGTACTAGCTCTATAGCCGGGTCTAGACTGGTGTGTGATGTGTAATGTAACACGAATTCTACGCGTGGACGGCACTACGAGCATTACATGTAAAGTGCTGCCCATACAATTTCATTCCATTACACGATACATTCCATTACGTGTTACACCCGACTAGACCCGGCTTTTATGGGGGCGGAGCCGCGAAAGAATGACTAGAAAAGGCTGGAGGAGACCGTCAGGTTTTTAGTGAGTGGACCTTGCCCATCTAGAAAGTGCAGGGAATTAAAGTCTAAGGAACTAGGCTGTTAAAAGTTATTTCATAAAACAAAACATCAAGAAAACAATCAAAATAATTTATTAAATGATTTCTATTCCAGCAGTGATTTCTAATTACTTGGATTGATGCGCCTAGTAGCCATACTAAACTTTTATTAGGAGTTTAGCATGGCTGAGGTTGGGGTGGGTCGGGCTTGGGGAATTCTCCGAGCTTATCCATGTAGTACTGGTAGGCGCGGAAAGGTTTCAGTTCCCACGGCACTTGGTCTTCCATGCGCGTGAGACACACGCCCAAGTCCAGCAAAGTTGGTACGCCGTTCTGTGTCACGTCTGTGGTGGCTTCCTGAAATGTTAGTAAAATACGAAATTTCAGATATTAAATATTTAATTTAAAGGCACGATAGCCGAACGGTGAAAGGATCGGACTGGCCGACTCGTGATTCGGGGAACACGGGTTCGGTCCCCGCCGCCGTTCGACTATTGTGGTGAGCTCACTCGTGACAAGCATATTTAGCTTAGTATGAGGGGCTAACGCAGGGCCGGATCGTGAATTTGTGGGGCCCTGGGCTGAAGCTACTTGGGGGCCTATCTTAGTACTCAACTAATAGCCATGCCAAAAAACTGTTTCTATAATGATATTATTCTTATACATACAGTGTGAGTCACGATAAAGTGCACATATGAAAATAGGTGAAACTAGACCTATTTTTATCGACAAAAAAGAGGTCAAAAAATTTTTGAGATTTTTTTAAATTTTTTTTCTGCCAATTACTTACGTTAGGTAACGTAAGGGCCCCGGGGTTACAAGGGGCCCCCAGATCCCGCTAAAATTTAGGCAATAATTTGAAAAAAAAAAAAAAAAGTGTAAAGTCGGTTTACGGACGATATTTTTACGTGACAACGCGGCAACGTCATAAGAAAATATTGATCAAAAAATAATTGCATAGGTACTAAATTTTTGAGATATTTAAAAAAAAAAACTGCCAATTACCTACTTCTTTTAAAGAAAACGTAATAACTTTTAAACTAAGAGGTAGGTATATCCTGATAAAATAAAAACAGTAACAATGATAAATAACAGGCGATACTAAAAAAATAAATAAAATGCCCAGAAAATGCCAACAAATAATAAAAAATTATACTTTTTGAAAAAAATCTGCTTTTAAATTCGTGTTTTTTTGGTTATTTGATAAATTTCTCCAAAAAATGCCCCCATAACAGGTGGTTTTTATTACTTTGTATTATTCTCTATCGTATTAATTTTGTAAAACCAAAAATCGGAAGTCTCTATCCCTATCACAACATTTGCTATGATCGTTTGAACAAAGGCCTGCCACCACATTATTCTCCGCTACAGGCAGAGACAATTTTAATTTTAACTAAAATGCTTATTTTACTTCGAAATCTTTTGTTTTTATTTGAAATGTAACTTGTTTTTATCAAAATTACAAATCTAGAGCCACTTTCACTTTCGTTGTTAACGAAGCGTTGAATGTCGCGCCCGGAGAGGCTTAGTGCAAACAATCATTGCAAACATTGTGATAGGGATAGAGACATGCTATTTTTAGTTTTACAAAGGTAATACGATAAAGAATAACACAAAGTAATAAAAACAATCTGTTATGGGGGCATTATTTGGAGAAATTTATCAAATAACCAATAAAACACGAATTAAAATGCAGATTTTTCTCAAAATGTATCATTTTTTTATTATTTGTTGCCATTTTCTGAGTATTTTATGTATTTTTTTAGTATCGCCTGTTATTTAGCATTATTACTGTTTTTATTTTATCAGGATATACCTCTTAGTTTAAAAGTTATTACGTTTTCTTTCCAAGAAGTAATTGGAAGAAGAAAAATAAAAATTTTGTACCTATGCAATTTTAATCAATATTTTCTTATGACGTTGTCACGTAAAAATATCGTCCGTAAACCGACTTTACAAACTTTTTTTTTTTTTCAAATTATTGCCTACTTTTTAGCGTGATCTGGGGGCCCCTTGTAACCCCGGGGCCCTGGGCTGCAGCCCAATCAGCCCATAGGTAGATCCGGCCCTGGGCTAACGGGACTATTAGTAATGTGCATTATCAAATTACTTAGTAAATAATTTAAAAAAAAACCGCTATTTTAATAACAACATTAAAGTTTATAAAAAAATAACATTTTAAAATAACTATACTATAGATAGACAAATCTTACTAATACATACTCTCTCAATTGATTCCCAGTGCAGGTTGCCGAATGGATACGCCGGCGATATCATGTTGACCAACGCGATCTTCAGGGGGAACAATGGGTCGTATTTCATGTCGTAGCGCCGGTAGCCCCAGCTTTCGTCTTTACGCATCAGTTTGAAGAACCAGTCTACCATATCTGCCAATAGGTACCTGTCAGGCCTGTAAATAATCGAAAAATAATGGTTAAAACATGTAGGTATTTAATAAATCTTCACCTTATAATGAATTAAACTTCCATACGATAAGTGCTTGGCCAGGCAGCACACGCGGGCGCAGCGCGTACTAAAATTTAAGTTATTCGAGTGTCCATAGTAGAGCCCGCGCCGTGAGCAGTTTGGCCAAGCAAATTAAAGTGTAATTATGTTTCATTAGAAATTGGGCAATGATTTTATTAGGTCCCTATTATAAGTACCAATACTACCAATATTTCCATTTGCAAATTAATACATACTCAAGCAGATGCAAAAGTATGCTTCAGATAATAGTAAAAGCAGGTTGATCAGGCACATCATGAACATTATTTATGAATGAAAACTTGTCTAAAGCCTGGTCTGTGAGCACGTAGAATTTTGTCCAAATTCTACGTGCTCACAGACCAGGCTTTAGTTATCATACATACCCAACAGCTTGATAAGTTTGGCATCTGGTGTCTGGGTCACGGGCTGCATTCACAATGCCTTGTGCTACATCAGACACAAAGACTGGCTGCTTGATGGTAGCCATTCCATTCTTGTACAGAGGCAGGAGCTGACCGTGGACGCGCCATTGGGATGCAAAGGCCCTGCAATGATGATGAACAGTATTTTTGTTAGTTAGAATATGTATGTTTGTTTTTACAGAAACAAAATTTAATAAAAATAATTCCTTCAGGCCAGGAAAGATTTATTTAGGGAGAGGACTAATGAGTTTCAAAACATGAAATAAAGGACTCTCCTGCTAACTANGCTAACTGCATGGATATTTAACAATTAGTTACAAAATCAATTATCAAGATTTAAGATCTATTCTAACAAAAGATAAACAAGTGCTAATGCACATTGTAGGAAGTAAGTAATTGGAAAGTATGTATCACAAACCTCAAAAACCTGTCTTCAGAGCCATAAATATCGGAAGCACGGATGATGGTGGCTGTGGGGAACTCCTCCTTCACAGCCTGCTCTCCCTGGAACTTGGTGATCTTGAACATTGATGGTTTGCGCAGAACTAGAGGTTTTGGGTTCTCAGATGCATTTAGGTAGGACAGGTGGATGAACCTTTCCACTCCCATTTCACGGCAAATCCTGTCATTGGAATACAATACTATTAGAGACAACCAATTTTAGTATTGCAGTAATAAAGCAGGTAAAGCTATTGGTAAAAGCAGTAATTAATAACTTAAAAAATGCTTTCTTGAAGTTATTTACCTTGCAATACGACGGGCACCATCAACATGCACATCTGAGTACTTAAAGTTTTTGGTTTCATAGTCCCTTCCAATCAGGTTGATGACTACATTTGAGTAGCGTACTGCTTTGGCTATTGACTCTTCATCACGTATGTCGAATGGTGTGAACAGCACTTGTCCAAGGTCTCCACAGACTTTCAAGCGTTGAGCATCATAAAAGTCAGAGCGGTATGGAAGTACCATCTGTAAAATATTTTAAATAGTTTTCTAATTTAATTTTGACTTTTGTATTTGCAACGCAATTTGATACTTGAATACAGTACCAGTTAATCAAGTATTGAACATAAATATTACCTGTGTGCCTATCTTCCCCAATTTGTTGCAGACATAGCGACCTACGAAGCCTGTGCATCCAAACACGGTGGCGACAATGCCGTTAAAGCTGCTACGGCCGCCAGTACCGCGCTTGTATGCAGCCAGGTTAGGCTTGCCATCTGAGCTGTACTGCGCCGACTTGATGTAAACAACGCCCAGTGAACCGCTTTTAGCTAAAACATAGGATGTTTTCTACGTTGCATTCCATCGTTAAACACAACGTAATAGAAGGTTGATACCGATTATTTTAAAAGTTTTATACACAAGAGTGGTGATCAATGTAAAGAAACAAATTATGTAAGAGATATTTTGGTGTTTTGTAAGACTAGTAAGGAAAATTATTTATAGAACTTACGAAGTGCTTTAGTAGCAAAATGGCCCTTTAAAGCTACTGAAGCCATTTTAGGGCTGTAATTATTTAAAATTAATTAAATTTTGCAAATATTTCAGATACAAGCGATTGTCATTTGACGTTTTCAAAACGTCATATCAATGACAGAATTGACAGATGATCTGTTTTTTTAATAGAAGAAAAGTTTTGCGGCTTTGAACATAGATCCATTCGGCCAGATNCCCTTGGTGACTGTCCCTTGGTCTTGCTCTTGACTTGACATGATTAGTTCATAAAATGTTAAACAATCTTTGGTTTTAGAGAAGCGCTGCTTGAGCTAAAGAGCTATACTGCGGTGAGCTACGGAGAGCTAATTTGTTGACAGCTGACAGCTAATTCTTGACAATATCCGATGTTTATGTTCGTTCATTCATTCGTTCAATTATTAATGAATTTTTATCAATCAATCAATTCATAATTTTTTTGCTTGTGTTTTTCATTGTTGTTTCTCGTACTATTTGGTCTCATACCACCTGCACCGCACGCTGGTCAATGCTCATAGCATTAAAGTTTTCGTGGTCGGAAAAAGTTAACTGATCCGATTAAAATGAACGACGAAGAAATAGAAATAATAAGTAGCAGCGCTGATTTAAACGAAGTGGGCAAGGTTTTAAAAGATTTTCTGAAAAATGTAAGTAAGCCTGAGGTACTGCTTAATGTAATTAAAACTAATTGACGTGGTTACAGTCATCCTGTGAACTTTAATCCACGCTATTCGATTGGTGGCCAGCTATCTCCTACCTAGCCAATATCATAATGTTTTGTCTTTTTTACAGAATGAAAATGTATTTACATTCCCCTTACTCTATGAAGAAAACCGAAGAGTCATTTTGTGGACAGCTCTGTTCCAGCGCCTTCAGCAGGAGTCATCAGAGAAAATACATGATTTGTGTTTAGCAGTAATAAGAATATTGAGGTAAGTAGTTAGTTATTGTTATCATTTGTGATTAGTCACCATAAAATTATTACTATTTGTTGTTACATTCCAGCCGAGACAAAACAGAATTGGACAGTTTGGTCTGTGAGAAATGGATCACTACATTAATTGAGAGAGGAGGGTTATACAATTTTGTGAGTGTGGAAGATGAAACAAATTCACTATTGGATATGCCAAACAAGGAAATAGTTGTTGAGGCATTGAAGTGTCTGTGCAACATTGCCTTCAACAGCGAAGTGGCTAGAGCTCTGTGTGCACACACCAGCATTGACCAAGCATTAATCGGTAGACTTAGAGTCTACAAAGACATACCTTTTAAGGAAGAGGTGATGCTTTATGACATGAAGCTACTTTTCATCTTGACTGCTTTGAGGCAGGATATAAAGAAGAAAATAAAAGATGTGTTGCACGGCATGGACTACCTGATTAGTGGCTTGAATGAGCTGTTGCTGGAAGCCACTTTGCCAGAGTCTGAAGCAAATGCTTCAGCCTGTGCCATTGATGAGCAAAGTCACTATTTACTTCAGGTATTACAGATAATATTTTGGGCTGCCTGAACTCATAGTACTTTCTGTCATAGCTAATAAATTGATTAATTTCCAGGACAGTCACCAAGGGATAGCATGTGAGATTTTGAAGACACAATTTAACTTGATAATCCACTCAGGGTCAGATGAGCCTGTGGATGAGGAGGAAGAGGCCATGTACCTGAAGCTGATGCCAGTCCTGGCTGCACTGCTGTGTGCACAGGCCACCAGTGAAGCCAAACTTATGGAGCTACACATCAATATTGCTAATTTGTTAACAAGGTATATTAAATATTTACTGAAAAGAAAGGGAAAATATTTTTTTATTATGGTTTACATTAATTTTTGTTATCTTTTAGTGTACCACCAATGTTCTATTCCTATCTGACTCCTGAGTTGACTGTGGGAGAAGTGTGCCAACACGAGTTTGAAGGCAGGAATATGGATGCTTTGGAGGCCTTGGTGCAGTTATTACATCATCGTTTGGAGAGCACAGCAGTATGTAATTTAAACTACCTTTTGAATTTTGGCTTTATAATCAGTTATGAAGAACCATTTCTAAAATTTTTGAGATATTTTATTTAGAATATTGAATAGAGCCTTTTCACACTACTAGTTTGTCTGGCGAATTCTCGGCGAATCAGATCACGTGGAGTAAAGTGCAATTTTTATTTCCATTAAGTCTTTTTTTGGGGCTCTCATTCCCACCACTGCAACTTCTAAAGAGCGAATAGAGCAGTGCCTCGCTGACCAGCTTGATTGTCTTATAATTCTGTATATTTATCTACAGGGCACAAAGAACCAGTACGAGGACTTATCGCCAATCCTGACGGTGATGGTCAAAAGCGCGCGCGGGTGCCGAGCGCAGCGCAAGTGGTTACGCGGGCGCGTGCTACCGCCACTTCGTGACGTATCCCGTCCACCTGAGAGAGGCCGCACCACGCGCAACCAGCTGTGCCGACTGCTGACCACACCAGTGACGGCTGTCAGGGATCTGGTGGCGGAGTTCCTTTTCGTTCTGTGCAAGGAGAAAGGTGAGTTTAGCAACTGATCAAATGACGTCACAAGATACCGAATATTGTCAAAAGCAGAGCAAGTGGTTGCGCGGGCGCGTGCTACCGTCACTTCGTGACGTATCCCGTCCACCCGAGAGAGGCCGCACCACGCGCAACCAGCTGTGCCGACTGCTGACCACACCAGTGACAGCCGTCAGGGATCTGGTGGCGGAGTTCCTGTTCGTTCTGTGCAAGGAGAAAGGTGAGTTTACAGAACTAAGATACCGAATCTTGTCAATAGCAGCGTAAATAGCTGCCCGGGCGCGTGCAACCGCCTCTTTGTGACATATCGCGCCTGAGAGAGGCTGCACCACGCGCAACCAGCTGTGCCGACTGCTGACCACACCAGTGACAGCTGTCAGGGATCTGGTGGCTGAGTTCCTGTTCGTTCTGTGCAAGGAGAAAGGTGAGTTCTGTAACTGATCAAATTATGACGTCACAAGATACAGAATATTGTCAAAAGCAGTGCAAGTGGCTGCGCGGGCGCGTGCTACCGCCTCTTCGTGACGTATCCCGTCCACCTGAGAGAGGCCGCACCACGCGCAACCAGCTGTGCAGACTGCTGACCACACCAGTGACGGCTGTCAGGGATCTGATAGCTGAGTTCCTGTTCGTTTTGTGCAAGGAGAAAGGTGAGTTTACAGAACTAAGATACCGAATCTTGTCAATAGCAGCGTATGTAGCTGCCCGGGCGTGTGCTACCGCCTCTTCGTGACATATCGCGCCTGAGAGAGGCCGCACCACGCGCAATCAGCTGTGTAGATTGCTTGCTGACCACACTAGTGACAGCTGTCAAGGATCTGGTAACTGAGTTTCTGTAACTGACCAAACTAAAATCTAATCGCAAATCGTGCGTAAAATAAAAATATTAAATCACAGTAACTTAAACTTGTAAGTTTACAGTTGCAACCGCATTATGCCGATGATATGCTATATCGTGTTCAAGGTTTTTCAGTGAAGGCCGCTATTATGAATAGTATGAATCAATCCAATGAAAATCCAAGTATAAATCTTGATCCGATCAATTTTTATTATATATATATGTTGATGCATCCCTACTTGTGTTGACAGTGGGTCGCATGGTAAAGTACACGGGCTTCGGCAACGCGGCGGGGCACCTAGCACAGAAGGGGCTTCTGGGCGGCGGGCGCGGCGCCCAATACTCGTCTAGTAGCGACGACTCTGATACCGAGGAGTATCTGGAGGCGGCGCCACATATCGACCCGGTGGTGGGATGCACCAGGCCCCCGCGAGCCGACCCCTTCGAAGGCATGACTGAGGAGCAGGTACGTTACTATACGAGTGTGTAGTATCCAGTGGCGTAGCTAGGTAACCAAGGGCCCTGGGGCAAATAAAATAATGGGGCCCCACTGCAATCCAGACTGGTTAGGTTTTATAAAATTTATTGACATTAAGCTTACATGGGAAAAATTCTCAAAGTTCAGTTCAATTGAGATTTTTTGGTAAGGATTCGGGGGCTCCCTGAGCTTGGGGGCCCCGGGGCACTGCCCCGCCTTGCCCCTTAGTAGCTACGCCCCTGGTAGTATCATCTTAATATGACACTTATGCCCGATTTCACCATCAATCCCTAATTTTTAAGCGACCCCTATGTAAACAAAATTTTCTGTTATGTGTTACCATAGGGGTCACTTAAAAATTAGGGATAGATGGTGAAAACGGGCATTAGGCACACTGTCTACGGTCTGTCATCTGGCGAATGCATGCAACTACAAATGACGAAGATGCAAGCAATCTCCATTGACGGTAGTGTACGAAGATTATGTTATTATGTGAACTACTTTCCTAAGTTTCTCATCACCATCGTCATCATCCATGTAGAAAACACTTCCAAGTAAATGATAGTTTTTGCCATTAGCTGTAAAATAACGTCATACATAATTCCTAATTCAAAGCAATTGTACCTACATTGTAAAATAATACCAACCGCAGTAAATAATACAAAAGCTTAGTTACTTAGTAATACCANTAATACCGCAAGTGGATTTTTATACCACACGATGACATTGCTATGCGGTTAGATTGCTCACTGTCCAGCCAGGGTTTTGGTAAACAGGCAATAGCAATAGGTAAGTGAAGAATCGAGTTTCTTTTCTTTCATCGCTAGCCCATCCATGCACACTCAGTTCTGATTTCAATTCCCTGACATACTAACCAATTGAGACAAGTACTGTAGATACCTACTAACACAAAAATGTGCTTCGATATCTCACAATATCACTTACAATCTTCTCCATTTTCAGAAAGAGTACGAGGCGATGAAGCTGGTGAACCTCTTCGACAGGATGGTTTCCGAAGGCGTGGTGAAGCCGGCGCGAGTGGGGCCCGACGGCAGGCCGCAGCCCATCGAACACGTGATGGAGTTCCGCGAACACGTGCCCAACAGGCCGCAGTCTTAGGCTTCACCTTTGCAATGCCAGTGCTCACAGACCTGCCCTTTATATGCCGCGATGGCACAGTCTATAAGAGAGGGATACATCTGAGATCAGGCATTTAAATGGTTAATATAATATAAATCAGCATACCACGCGAGTGAAATTCAGGCCCGAATGAAACTCAAGTTGAATTCGAATTTTGAGTTTTTAACATCTTACAAAAAACCACTCAGACCAACGAGTGTAGAAACTACTGGAGCAATGAAGAGTCTAATGAGGATCGAACTTCATTGGGTTGTTTGAAAATCTTTTTTGAATTGGCATTAATATGGCTATGATACAAAGGCATTCCCTTGGGATACAAAGATATACCCTACAACGATTTTATAATAGACCACCGCTGTACCACGCGTGTCATGACTTTTTCCATTACACAAACATATTTTGGCGCTTCCTTTGTCTAGTAAAATTGTGGCCAAGACACGTGCTGTACAACCTATTTGACGTCATGAGCTGGTTTCCATACAGGGTTGTCATTTGACAGCGTCGCGCGCTATAGCGATAGCGACATACCTAACAACAAAACTATAATCTTATATGTTGTAATATGTTCTTCACGGATTGTACTAATATCTCGTAATACCTACTATTACAAATTATGTACTGCTGTAAGTAATGCAAGTGGATTATCCAATGTGAGATTGAAATATTTATTATTTATAAATAAATAAATTATTTAGTAATTATCGCATGACTAACATTTTAGAATGATTCTATCTTCAGTAGATAATATGTAATTATATTAGTTAATGGTAGATGTTTAAGAATAAGAAGAGAAAGACTAGTGATATTGGTAGGCAAGCAGGTTGTGGAGATATCAGTGATGGAAGCCAGAAAATATGTATGTAGGTAGTATCTACTAAACTGCCTTTTCAGGGTGTCTATATTTATTTATTTAGAAATATACTTTTAATATACAGAGTTAATTTATTAAGTATACACCCTGTATTGTGAGAAAGCTCGACACCTTTTTTAGATTCGTTGCCAAACATTGTAAGTCGTATTTTAATGTAATTTACGAAGCTTTGATCATATTATCCTTTAGCCTTTTCCAATTAATGGCTGATAGATATAAACTTTAAAGACATATTTTGTATTCCTATTTTGTTGTGCAATAAGAAGGAAATAAAATAATATTAGTTTTTATATTCTTGGTTCAGTATTGTTGCTAGTTATTACATGCATTTCAAACTAATCTATGTAGTTACTAACTTATTACTCGAACCGTATCTGCTTTTCAGAAAAAGGTAGAGGTATCAAAAATTTTTGTAATAAAATTATCTTGTTCAACTTTTCTAATGAGTATTAACGGCCTTATTAGGCACTAGGCAAGTAGCGAACAAACTTAAGGTCTCTACATTCTAGCGAGTCGCGGTAGATGATTTACCAAACTCCGTAAAGCAAGCTGTTTGCAAGAGGTTCCCGCGCTCAATAATGGTATTGTCTTTACTTATTCTGTGTAGACATTTCGTCGTAAATTCTTAAAAAATATTCATATTTCTTCTTAATGGAATACGAAAATTAGACAAGTTAACTTGTTTTTAGCAGTTGCACGTTACGTAGGAATCGAAATTAATCAGGCACTTTCGCGTAAATCACTCACTTATTTTACTTTGCCCAAAAATTTTATAAAAAAAGTTTCTTACGCTTAAAAATCATTATTTTTAGCACTGGCTCGTATAAAATTTGTAATTATTGGTAGGGTTAATGGTCAAATGCCAAAAATAAATTACTTGTATGACTGTAATGGCCATTCGCAATCGAGTCGTAGATACCGATGTTTTTCACGATTTTAGTTAAACCAAAAACTTGGCTGTAATCTGAATAAAGTATTCTTTGATCTTATCATTAATGTATTAATTATTGTTCAATATGCTAAAGGTAACAAATAACAATATACCGTATTTAATTAAATTAGATTTAAGCCAATATGTGCAATTTTTCTAAGTTTTATTCATACTATGTCGTAGAATAAGCAACGCTAGGACATTGTTTAGTTATTTCTGATTTTATTTATTAAAATGTTTGAGAATAAAGTCTTGCTATACACATAAAACGAATTTTATTCCGCCGTCGATTTAATTTGCCCTATTTTCAACCGACTTCAAAAAAAGGAGGAGGTTCTCAATTCGACCCGTATGTTTTTTTTTCTATGTTTGTTACGCGATAACTCCGCCAATTATGAACCGATTTGAACAAACCTTTTTTCGGCGTATAGGTAATACCTCAAGGGTGGTCCCATTTAAATTTAATAATAAAAAAACAACCCCCAAGGGTGGAAAATTGGGGATGAACTTTTTTATACGCAATATCTCCGCCGATTATGAACCAATTTGAACGATTATTTTTTTTGTTGAATAGGTATTATTTGTGTTCACGCATTTGAAGTCGGTTTTTTTTTTAAGTTATAATTACATATATGGTATGAAAGCATACTGAAAGCAGAGCTTATTTGTTTCTAATTACTTATTTAAAGTTAAAAGTTTTAAGAGCCTTGAAACTCGTTTTTCTTAACTAACTAATATATTAAAGTCAACAATAGCTCCATTCTTTAATAACAAATTAAGGTTTGCGCAACATTAATATTCACGTAAAAGCTATTTTTCAATTAAAAACAATTTGTAAGTATACTTGTTAACCCTTGCAAAAATATTACACTTGCAAAAACTTTCGTAGTCTCCATTTTAGTCCGTAATCCGCGTAGCATGACATACATCAATACAACATAGAGCTTCCGTAGCGCCCTTAGCTCAGTCCCCCGTAGACGCGTAGGGCGGGCGGCCGTCTACGCCCGACCTCACTCCCAAAACTCCGCACAATTTATGATGATCCCGCTTAAAATCAGGTAACAACTGTTTTATATTCCATTACTACCAGTATCAAAGTTTACTATTAGTAATTTTAGAGTAATTTCCCTCTAGATTAGTGTAGGTCAGTGTACTTTCTTTGTTTATCGCCCGGTTAGCAAACAGAGGTGGGCAGTTTATGAACTCTACCTATATGTAGAAGTGCACGCATAGTATGCAAGTGCGATGCGATTTGCGACTGTGCAGTGCGAAATTGATTGGCTGTGTACCGATCTAGATGAGGGCACCTCCCGAACGTTTCGCTAAAATTTAACAGTTTTGATTAATGTAAATCAATTTCAATTAATCTCAGTTCATTAAATGAAGCGGTGAGTAATTAAAACTTTGTAAGCATCGTATTACTTCTTGTATTTCCTATTGCTACAGTCGCAAAAGCTTTGGAAAAATCTTCGTAGACGTGTGACTTCGTAGCGTAGGATATTTCACTTGTTGAATGCGGTTGGATGAGAGTGTTCATGCGTTTGTTCTATTTAATAAGAGTAGGTTTAAAGTAACTAGTTAGGTATTGTAGTGGTTATTTAACTTTAAGATATGATTTCTTTGTGTGTGATATTTGTTCTTATTAGGTACTTTACTGAATATAAATTAATGTTGTCAGAAGATGCCAAATTATTCTTTGTTGATTGTAATCTTTGAAAGTCCGATTGCACATGTTTTCTCAGATAGGACACTCCATTTCCTTTATTTCCGAGTGTCATGGGCTACTGTTTGCCATGGGTCTACTAACTAAACAGTATTTTCATGACTGCATTGTGTGTTAATTAAAATGTTGAGTAAGTAACGTGTGCGAGTTGCATCGGGAGCATGGCAGTGTGATTGTTTAGAATAGATTCCACTGAAATTTTTCTTCCAACTCCAAGACTTTTTTCGTAGACGTTTAATTGAAAAGTAGCAACTACTTACTTACTTAACTGCTTTTATACTTAGTTTGTTTCAAGCTATTAGATANGTTGACCAGTGTAATAGGTACCTACCATTGGGTAGATACCTACCTACCTGTCCCTACTTATACTTATTAGAATCTTTAAAAGTCCATCATCATCAATTAAAGTTTTGAAGTTCGCATTTTGAGAAGTCGGGTTTTAATTTTTTTTCGTTTTTGTAAAGCAACATGATGATCTTGCTCTTGATGAGCATACTGTGGGACGCAGCGAGCGCTACCGAGGAGTGCGAGCGCGCTCCGTCCCACGCGCAGCCGGCAGACGCCTTCTACCGCTTGGGGATAGCCGGGGAGCCTGACCTGTTCTTGCCAGGAGAACTTTATACCGGTAAGTAAGGTAGCAACTCTTTCATAAAGCTTTTATTTGTTGTCTGTAGCATACATTTATATGCTTAGGATCAAGAAGAACCCTGTCTGCACAGTTTGAAAAACTTTGCACTTGGACGACTTTGCATTAAAACAGAGCTGGCAAAACGGAGACTCTAAAATATTCAAATCTTTTCAGTCTCGCTTCAAGGAGTGGACAGTGGACAAGGTTCCACTCCATTCGTAGGTTTCATGATCTGGGCCGAATTAGACGAGGAGCAAAAAAATGAAAGTCTAGACAACTTGACCACCAATCAGCCGCAGCATCTGGGCTCGTTCCAGGCGTACGATGCGCAGACCAAGCCGCATGAATCCTGCAAGCCTGCTGTGGATAATGCCACTGCCCATCCTAAAACTGAGATACAGGTATGCAGAGGGTTCTCCGACTACTTTGATATTCANTTAATTAAGGATTTACTTAGAAACTGAAATTGTTGGTTACTTTTTAGGTTATTTGGAGTGCACCTATGAAAGCAGGTGAGGTTTGTGTGCGACTATGCGCTCGTGCTTCTCCGGCTACAACGGCGGTAAAGGAAGGGGCTACAGGACCTACAGTAGAGGCAGTATCTGCAGGAGCAGCTAGCTCTACTATCCAACGCAGTATACTGGCGCGGAAGATTTGCGCTGCCCCGGCTGCTCCTGCAAGCTTCGTAAGGCAGCCGCCCATTGTGGAGCCCTGCTGTGCTTGTGATGAGGCAAAATATGAGGTAAATTTGTATCTTACGTCTTATGTGTTTAATGGTATTCTATACACAGTCACAGGCTCACACTAAGTGCTTTAACAGGTGACATTTGAGGGTCTATGGTCTCGGAACACGCATCCCCATGAGTTCCCACCAGAGACGGCACAGGCGCACTTTGGTGACGTAATCGGTGCATCACACACCGCTCAGTACCGCGTGTGGCAAGAGGGACGCATCGCCAGCGCGGGCCTGAGAAAACTCGCTGAGGACGGCACCACCACTATGCTCGAAAAGGAACTCAAGGCTGAGGTACGTTTTTCTAATTTCACAATGAGTATTTTACTTTGAAGAATGAAAAGAAAAAATAAGAAACCGCCTTTTACAGAGCGATCGCATCCGCACAATAATTAAGGCTCGAGGCATATCTTGGCAACAAATTTCCGGAGCTGGCATCCCAAACACTTTCGCCGTGTTCCGTGTGGATGCCAAGAATCATCTGGTGACGCTTGCCTCGAAGCTGTGGCCGTCTCCAGATTGGATCGTGGGCGTTTCGGCCTTGGAGTTGTGCAATGCTAACTGCACCTGGTCTCATTCTGCTACCTTGCCGCTGTACCCTTACGATGCAGGGACTGATAGTGGTATCACTTACACGGTGCGTATAAAGTTATTATTTTGTCTACTACTGTTTGTCAGTTGTTAATTATACATGTGTATTTCTGTCCAGTCCCGTCGTTCTCCGACGCTGCCCCCTTCCCCGGTACGTGCCCTGCGGCCTGATTGGCCACGCGACCCTCGCTCACCATTCTACAGCGCGACGGGCGAGATGAAGCCCTTCGCTAGGCTCCGGCTCACGAGGCTACAGCTCTTTGAAAAGAACTGCGATGCAGCTAGTATGTTATTTTTAGTTTTCCTTGGTGTTCGTCATTGTCTCGTCATTATCATCAGATCATTTGGTGTCCACACCGCAGCACGACCCTTTCTAATTCACCAGAAGAAAATGGAGAATTTGGCCTTCACTCCCCAAGCTATTTAGATCGTTTGGAGTGGCTTGATGTTTGTAATTTTTTCCCTTTTGCCTCTTACGACATCCTCTGGAGGAGTAGGAGCGGTCTTATTCTGCCGGAAGTAAATGCAAGGTTAATTGCGTCATTTTAATGCTTCTGCAGAGACTAGCAGCGACACAGGGGCGCAGTCCATCTCCCACAGCGGTGGCAGCGGCGGGGCCTGCTCTACGCACGCTTGGGGCGCCTGGAGCCCCTGCAGCGTGTCATGCGGACCAGGCCGGGCCTCTAGGCAGCGTGAGTACGTGTGGCCTTCGCGGGCTTATGCCGAGGCCTGTCGAGTGCCGCTGACCGATTACAAGCGGTGCCATGGCCCGAGGATGCACTGCAGGTGAGTTGGATGCACAGCTGCATGAAAGAACCTCGTTTAGAAACATTAGATGTTAAATACTTGTCACAAATTAGATATGTGTAACATGGTACCTATGTATGATGCCAGGATGTGCGTACTATCATAGGCTACTGCTAGCTGATAGGTTTGACAAGCTTTTCATCACCACAAATAAAATACTTCGATCTTCCATCTTCTAAGTTAGTCTTCTCCCATAGAAATCTTCTTTAACTTTTTTGTGTGTGGAAACCGAGTACTTTGGTTAATTTATTGAACAGTTCATACAAAGATTTATACGCTAAGAAAGATTCAAGAAACATACTCCTAGAAAGAACTGGTAACTGGACTTACTGGTGAGCTTATCTCTATGAAGAGACTCCTCCCTGCGGATTGTATCATCAAACGTCGTATTTTAGGGTGATATCGGAATACGAGCCGGACCCAGCGGAGTCTACCGGCCCCTGCGCCATGTCGCCCTGGTCGGAGTGGTCGCCGTGCGAAGGCTGCGGCGTGCGCGCCCGCACTCGACACTACGTCGTCCCGCGCGCGCACAAGCGCTGCCACATCGGCTTCCGAGCGCGCACCATCACCAGCCAGGCCATGCCGTGTGACGCTGGACCTTGTCACAAGTAATAAAATCCTTAGTCTTCTATTGAACAGCCCCTTTAGCTAGATTATGTAATTAATATTCGTAAAAGATTCCATTTCGTGAACATTTCACGGAGTGGTGCGATTTTGGAGTAGACACTGTCACGTTATGCACTTTGTCTAGGGGGGCTGAGGTCAAAACTTTAATATGTAGGTATAGTATCAGACTTTATACTCGTACCTACTAACAAAATGATTTATTTTTCAGGCCTCCCAGTCAGGCGAACGCTACCAATCACGATTGGTTCTTTGTGGTAAGATCTATAAATTCCTAATCTGAACTTCCTAAGAAAAGGGAACTACGTATGTCGAGCTAGTCTATGGTATCAATCAACTATCATGTCGGCGCCACACATTGTGTATATTGGATCCAAGACTTACCCAATATGTGGCGCCGGCATCAGATATTGTAAAGAAGGCTCATTTGATTGGATAGGACGAGCCCAGCTGGCCGTGCAAGGTGACGACGTGGGGCGAGTGGTCGCCGTGCTCCGCGCGCTGCGGGCGCGGGCGACGGCTGCGCACGCGCTTCTACCTCAACCCGGATACTAATGTGCAAGGAGAGCTCACGCGCCGCTTGCTAAATAGCTGGAACCGACGGTTCGCTGAGCTGCAGCAGATCGTGAGTGATGGGGCTTCAAGTATTAAACTAACACACGATGCACATAGTCGTAATTTTACAACGTTATTGTCCTTGGACGTAATCATGCTAAAAGGGGGTTAGAAACACTGTGGGGCTAGTGGTCGCCGTAATCAGCGCGCTGCGGGTGCGGTGCGCACGCACTTCTACCTCAACCCGGACACTAACGTGTAGGCCGAGCTCACGCGCCGCCTAAATAGCTGGAACCGCCGGTTCGCTGAGCTGCAGCAAATCGTGAGTGATGGGGCTTCAAGTATTAAACTAACGCACTATGCACATAGTCGTAATTTTGTAGGATAGCGCACGCGCTTCTACCTCAACCCCGACACCAACGTGCAGGGAGAGCTCACGCGCCGCCTGCTCAACAGCTGGAACCGCCGGTTCGCTGAGCTGCAGCAGATCGTTAGTGATGGGGCTTTAAGTATTAAACTAACACACGATGCACATAGTCGTAATTTCGTAGGATAGCGCACGCGCTTCTACCTCTACCCCGACACTAACGTGCAAGGAGAGCTCACGCGCCGCCTGCTCAACAGCTGGAACCGCCGGTTCGCTGAGCTGCAGCAGATCGTGAGTGATGGGGCTTTAAGTATTAAACTAACACACGATGCACATAGTCGTAATTTCGTAGGATAGCGCACGCGCTTCTACCTCTACCCCGACACTAACGTGCAAGGAGAGCTCACGCGCCGCCTGCTCAACAGCTGGAACCGCCGGTTCGCTGAGCTGCAGCAGATCGTGAGTGATGGGGGCCTTAAGCATTAAACTAACGCACGATGCACATAGTCGTAATTTTTCAATGTTGTTGTCTTTGGACGTAATCATGCTAAAAGGGGGTTAGAAGCACTGTGGGGCTAGTGGTCGCCGTAATCAAAGCGCTGCGGTTGCGGGCGGCGGCTGCGCACGCGCTTCTACCTCAACCCGGACACCAACGTGCAGGGAGAGCTCACGCGCCGCCTGCTCAACAGCTGGAACCGCCGATTCGCTGAGCTACAGCAGATTGTGAGAGAAGGGGGCTTTAAGCATTAAACTAACGCATGATGCACATAGTCGTAATTTTTCAATGTTATTGTGATTAGACGTAGTCTAGTCATGCTAAAAAGGAGGTTAGTAAAGCACGGAGGGGCGAGTGGTCGCCGTAGTCGGTGCGCTGCATTACCCATAATGGACATTTAATAATAATTGAACAACAACCTAGACTTGACGCAGAACTAAGTGATACCTACTTTTGTACTTAGGTAGAGTTGATTGTACAACTTAGACCCGAATCATGAATGATCGAAATAATTTTATCCCGAATAATTTTTGCCCGATAATACGTAGGACGATAGAATAACGGTTGCCCGAATTTCTCTTCTCGGCGTACCGAGAAAACTTTTCAAAATAGCTCCTATCCTGTAGCCTCCTCAATAGCCTGCACTGAGTATAATTTACTAGTACCTATTTGCATCCATTTCAATTTAGGGCATATGAATTCATAACAAAGTTAAGATTACTTGAACTTACTCATATTTACACAGCAAATACCGCCAGAGAACAACACAGGTGTGGACCCAGAAGTAGAGCGGCAGGTTCAGGATCAGATGGAGAAATGCCAGTTCACGCTGTCCCAGCAGGAGGCGCTGTGCGACGGAGAAGATACCAGTTGTTTTGCCAACGCCACAGAAGGCAAGTCTGGTCTACAGCATAAGTATAAGTGAACTAATATTAATAGGATAGTGATAGTGAACCCTACACGTTAATTGCATTATTTTGACGAGCTGTTAAAACATGACAGTCTTATATTGTACTTTGACTGCCAGGCCGCAAACTTAACTGAATTTGTTTTGAAACCCGGTTTCGGGCCTAAAATGAAGAGCTTGTTTTTAAAGAGTCGTAAATTAGTTATTTATTGGTTATTAATTACTTACTTTATTTCATTGTTATTTTCTCCAGCCACCCAGAAATGTCTTTGTCTGCTGTCTAGGGTCTCTTCCATGTCTCTTCTATATGACCACGTGGTTTTTCAGGTACATCTTATTTTACAGAAATCTGTAAGCTACCATTACTTGTGGGTCACTGCCGGAGCTACGAAGAACGCTGGTTCTATGATTCATCAACCGGCGTTTGCGAGCCTTTTGGGTACACGGGTTGTGGAGGGAACGCCAACAATTTCCGCTCCAGGAAAGTCTGTCTCAGCACTTGTGTGCGCGATAACCAAACCACTACGACCACGACTTCCACTACAACAACGACTGCTCCTCTGACTACAGGTAAAATTATGTTTTACTTACCTACCACATAACAAAACTTGTAAAGGTTTGATGATTATTTGATGAACGGTGTACAAGCTCAACATGAAAACTTTACCAAGTTAATTGTGTACTTTAATGATGTCATTTTTTGTGCTTTTAGTATCGTCTACGACGTCTGACGTGATCATAAAGAAGTTGAAACCGACTACATCAGCGTCATCTGAAGATAACGAAGTTTTGCAAAACGATGGGCCATATTATTACGGTAAGTTATAAAAAAATAGTATCAGTTTAGGTATAGATTGAATAAAAAATATGGATGTTATTTGAAAATAATTTCTTTCAGATGACTTTGATGTGAAGTGCAAAATAGGCCCGTGGTTGGGTTGGAGTCACTGCTTTGGGGAGTGCGGCTACGGTGTCAAGCTCAACTATCGATTGATTAAGGTGATCATTTAACTTTTTAAAACTATTCTTCTGCACGCTATGTTTTATAGAGTGTGTGTGATCTGCACCACGAACGCTGCATGCTTACTTCTACGAAGTGATCGTGACTTGTGGTACTCGGTGGTGACCATGTACATAGGTTTAGGACTTTTGCTTAGAAGACCCTCACATTTCATAGATGCTTATAATTTCACTTAATTTCAGTTCGGCGCTCCAAAAACGGGGAAGCAGTGCAAGAAGTTGATGAAGAGTCGCGTGTGCAAGCCGGGCCACTGCCGCAAGCTGGTGGCCACGCCAGCGCCTATTGCTCCGGGGCAAGACATCGTCGAAGAGCTCACGTATGAGATACTAAGCTAAATAGATACCCTCTAAATCATACGACCGAATTGACCTTCTTTTTTGAAGTCGGTTAAAAGAAACGCAAATATTTACGCGCTTTTGCGTTACACGCGTGGAGTCATTGAGATGGTTCGTTTCAAGGAAGAAGAGTTGGCGAAATTAAGCCAAGCAGTCGGTGGATTACAGGATTTTTGAAGTACTACACTATTGAATGTCATAGACAAGGATTTTTGAAACTATTGAATGTTATCGAAATAGAGATTTACATATTGAATTAATAATACAAATAAGAAGTAGTTTTTGTCTGTCTGTAAGGGATCTAAAATCTACATAAGTGAGTCTGGATCTGGATATAAGCAGCAAACAATCCTATATGTGGTGATTTGAGACTCAATTTGCTGTTGGCTAATGCCTGCGCCATCGATTCTATGCGGAGAAGAATACGGAGAAAGAAGTGGTTTTACATAATAATTTAATACTATTAAATAGGTCTATAATATAATACTTTTAGAAAAATATACCTTCTTAAGAAAAATAACTAAAAGAGGACTTCACAGAACACTCAAAGTTAAAGATTTCCCGTAATGTCCCGATGCATTTATTAAATAGTTTCGAAAGATTTTAACGTCATGTAGCGTATAATAATAATTTATAATAAATAACTCTTAAGTAAATGAGCAGAAAAACAAAGGAAATAAAAAGTTAGATTTTCCATTTTATTATTTTAACTAAGCATTATTATTTGTACACAAAACACCTTTACTTTCATCATTACAAATTTTCTTACACTAAGTTTCTACCTAGCTCCTTATAATACTGTCTAGGAACATCACAGTCGCTTTGTACGCCACCTTCAAACTGTTCATAATATAAATGTATAATTTAATTTGAGCTATTAATAAATATTTTAATCCACTAAACAGTATTTTGTTTTAATGAACAACCTGTATTTGATTTTACAATGGCAGGACTATGTAACACTATATTAGTAGCAACTTAACGAAGTTAACAAAACTTTAAATCTATCAGCTTATCTAAGTCGCAGTAGGTTGAGCAAAGCACTAATATTATTACAGTATTATTATTGTTTCTAAAATTTGAGCTGGGGCATTAAATTGTATCAAACTGAAAATATCAGCAAGGTAATAACAACTTTTTACTATAATGCGCCATAGTTCAGGCTGGTAATTTCGATTATTGTGACAAACTAATGAAAAATCAAATTCATAATTAAATAAAGTAAAATAAACTTATTTAAAATGCTTAAATATCACGAGACTATTAATCATGTCGAAACATTTTATACGGCCAACATGGCACAAAATATTAATTGCAAAGAGAAAACTTCAATTTCTCTTACAAGNACACACTGTATAGTCGTAAAAACACAAAGAAGTTTTTTAACAATGGTAGAATCATTACGCGTGTAACGTACTCGTATGCTCATTTGGCTGTCACTCACCGTGTATCGAGGTGCACAGGAGTGACATAATGCGACGTGGCAGCTCTAACCTCGTACTTTCACTCTTCTTGTTAGAGGCTGTGATTACCTCGATTAGAAATTTCACTGTTCACCGCATTGGATAAGTTTTCTTTGGTGAATTTGTTTTTAACAATACTGCGTGTGCCTATGCAAATTCACATAGCTACATTGTCATAGCCTACGGCAAGATATACCACGCTCAAACTTTTTTCTAAACAGTGGTATCTCGGCACAATTGCCACTGTTGTGTTCTTATCTCATGGCTGACTTACTCCCAGACATTAAATATTACTAATTCACACACAGTCTGTACTTTTTGAACACATGTTGTGAGGGCACTGCGTTGTGCGGGTAGTTAGATGCGCGTGACGGAGGCCTTCCTCGCAGGCTGGCAACACCGAGGCGCGATGCATTCTTTAGCGCATGGAGTCGTACACGCCAAGTTTGCCAGGTCTATGCTAGCCTTCTTTTCGTCGTCCGTACCTAGAAATGATTATTGAGATGTTATCCATCCATATCCCATAAGTTATCTATACTTATAATAAATCTGTAGAGAGGTCAATTCTGTACATGAAATATATTTTCAAAATAACTATCAGGGGGTGATTAGTGATCGATACTGATGCCAAAAATGCAATCAGTAAAATTTTTGTCTGTCTGTCTGTCTGTCTGTCTGTCTGTCTGTCTGTATGTTCCTTATAGAAACAAAAACCACTTGACGGATTTTAACGAAACTTGGTACAATTATTCTTCATACTCCTGGGCAGGTTATAGGATACTTAGGAATTCCCACGGGAACGGGAATTAGCGGGAAAATCCTTTTGTACGAAAAATCTAAACCGCTTAAGTTAGACGCTTGAAATTTGGCATGCAGATACCTTAGTAAACTTAAAGCTTAGTTACAACAGGATATTGCAAAATTCCCATGGGAACGGGAGTTAGTGGGAAAAAACATTTGTATGAAAAAATCTAAACCGCGTAAGATAGACTCTTGAAATTTGGCATGCAGGTACCTTAGTAAACTTAAAGCTTAGTTACAACAGGATATTGCAAAATTCCCACGGGAACGGGAGTTAGCGGAAAAAAACATAATCCACGCGCACGAAGTCGCGGGCGGCCGCTAGTAAATAAATAAATAATAAATATAAAAGCTTAATTTAAATGGATATACGAGTAAAATAATACCTGCATATCTATACTGAAAGCTGAAGAGTTTGTTTGTTTACTTGAACGCGCTAATCTCCGGAACTACTGGTCCGATTTAAAAAAATATTTCAGTGTTAGATAGCCTATTTATCGAGGAAGGCTATAGGCTATACAACATCACGCTACGATCAATAGGAGCAGAGCAATAATGATAAATGTTGCGAAAACGGGTTTTCACGCGTACGAAGTCGCGGGCACAGCTAGTTGTAAGTATTCGTAAAAAATATTTTCTTAGGCTTAGGTAGTCTAACAATTCCTCACCTATAAAACCAGCCAAATCAAATTCTGGCTGCAATGTGACTAAACCAATCCCGTGACGTTTGAACAAGTCGCAAACAAGTGCTGAACTCTGTAAGTAGTCCTGAAATTGGAAATAAACACAACATTAAATAAAAATGTTTTCATTATCAACGAATTGTTCACCAAATTATCTCATCACTCGGACAGACAATGATCGGTGTATCTTTGAATTGGTCATTAGTTGGCCAATTGATGATAGTTGTTGTACTAACTAAGGCATATCATGATATATACACATAAGTACTTAGGTATTATTTGCACAAATATGTAAACATTTATTGCTCGGACCGGAGTAGGTATACAATAACGGTCATGCTCGTTACACAAACATTTCCCCCTTGTGGTGTTCAAACCAGAAACCGCAATTAACAATAATAAACTAATTACGTAATCACGAAGCCTAGCCTATATGACGATCAGATTATGGATAAACGGATAATTAAGATTCAAACACCGTCAGATTATTCGCTTGTATGGGAAGACTTGTATTATGCCCATAAACTTTTACCCAAAGCCGGCAGGCAGGCTTCGAACCTGCAACCAACGACTTCGTAGAGGCATTTTAATCACTATCAGTAGATTTGCTTATCTATAATATCGTTATACCGTTCGATATGAGTTCTGAAGACTTAATATAAACCTGGAAATTCCCACCCCCTATTGAATAAACTAAATGAAATGAAAGACAGGTTTTGATTGTACCTATACTTAACGTCTTGGTGTAATATGCACACAAGTCAGTCAGCGAACTAATTATGTAAGTTATGTGTGGTAATGATGCCGCATCGAATAACCCGAGTGCATGGTGTTTGCTTGCTAATTGAATAACAAGGAAGCAATCCAGACTACCGTAATGCAGCTTCTATTTATTTTCCCTCGCGGATGTATAAAAGTTCCGTACATGGTAGATCCGCTGTCGGAGACATGCAGTTTTCTCGATAGGTACATTAATTCAGTAAAAAAACTAATAGAGCTAAAGTTTCCCAGAAAATTGAATAGGAAGTTAGGAACATAGAACTACAGTTATTTCGGTATGTTAGGAAGTTAACAAACGCTTTACTTATTAATACTTTAGTAGTTCAGTATTCGAGGTTTTGTAATAAGCAGTCTTCTAAGATAGCCTATCCTATATCTTTTTTCTAAGGTACTGTCTCTACATAATTTGAAAAAGCGGTATTTTACTACTGAACTGGCAAAAAGTGTTTTTCAATACGAAAACTAAAGCGCTAAACGCTATTAAATTCCTAAAACTTGGTTTTTCCTACCTCATGTGAGCCATAAGCCACATGTGCTGTAGCCACAAGACGGTCTCTATGTAGCTGCCAGACGTGCAACTCGTGTATCGCCAGCACGCCCGGGAGGCGTAGAGCCGCCGCGCGTAGCTCGCACGCGCCGAGTCCTTCGGGAACTGTTTGCAGGAGCACCAAACCCGCTGACCTCACTGTTGAAAGAAAGTAAAACGTGATGATTACATTTGGAACTATACATTTTGTACTATACTTCATGACGCTTTATGACTCTGGTTGCAACTACCATGCAGACTGATGACCTGAAGTGTCCGAAGTATTTAATTTTCTTCTCGAACAATTTAAGTCCTAGCACAGAATGAATGATTAAATATAAGTATTGGGAATTAAACCTCACGGAGGCGTTGGTTTCTATAATTAATTGATCGCGTATCCGCATTTAGTACCGCCATAATTATAAAGTCTGTACCCGTACATTAAAGTGCGGTCATAGACATGTCACAACCATAATGAAATATGTTTGTCGGCCAGCATTCCCCTTGCGAATGCTTCATTTACGCAACAAATTGTTGGTTCATTGCTTATCACTTGCATTTCAATAAGAACAGTGTGCTACACATTATAACGATGCATCATAATTTGTAGATACAAAGTATCGTAGATAAGTTGGATAATGTGACAACTACTTACCTACTTCATAGTCATATGCTCTGTAATCTTCGAGTCTTATTGACTGATAAGTAATTAGCTAATTGAAGGAGTAAAACACAATAGGTAGGTACTTGAACTTGAAGTAGGGCGTAGGACTCGCGATACATCTCCAAAAAAAAACAAGTTTTCTTCAGGGAGTGAAAAATCTCCACAAACAAGAAATCAAAATTACTTAGTATTATCACAAAATAATAATAAGTACTAGTATTATCTTGTATAATTCTAAATTTTTAGTCGATGTTCCGAGTCCCCCACAAGTTAGGAAGATAACTGGCAATGGATGGACGAAAGTAGCGGTAGATCAGGCTCTTTGTCTGTGTCCAGCAGTGGGTTGCCATATGCTGAGACTGTTACGTGTACTTACTAAAGGGATAGTTGAATATGACGAGGATGACGGCGGCGCAGGCAGACAGGCCAGGGTCGGCGATGCGGGCGGCCTCCGGCGCCCACTCCAGCGTCAGACCAGCACTCATCACGAAGAGGCTGCCTGAATACAAACATTAAGCAATTATTACAAGTATATTTGAATTAAAAGCCTTTGACGGTTATTTAGTTCTATAGAGAAGCCGTTTCTATAAAACGAATAGGTAATCCTGTTAATTCGCCCATAGAGTTATCTGATTCTATAGTTACAAGCAATTGTTAGTTTAGGGTAAGCTCACTAGAAAGTTTTTTGCTGAGTATAATTTTTGCAGTTAATCCATTAATTAGGTAAGTAGAAGAATAGAGATTGACATTCTAGAATTTGTATGTTACTGTAGGTACATTTATAGCATTTTTTTTTATCAAAGGCCGGATGTCTGTCGAGTGTCGGCATCATTGGAAACCGAAATATGAACAAGATCAATAAGACCTAATAAGCTATAAGTAGTCGAGGGACGTTATCGTACGTTTGTTGTTTGTATCGTATCATCGTTCAAATATCAAGATGTGACTTTGGCTCAACTTATCAACATTAGGATAGGACTTGTCACTAGCCGACGCATTTGGACACATAATTGTAGCTAATTGGGAAATATGTATTAGCTTATGTAGAGTCAACATCAACAAAAGTACTTAATAGATATAGGCAAGCTTCATCGCGCCTGTAACTTATAAGATTATATTTGTTTGTTATTCGAAGGCAAAGAGTAGGTATTAGTAAAGTGTTTTTTAAGTTTCTTAATTTTCATTTTTCAGGATTTCCGGTGGGTTCTAGTCATGATTATGAACAGCGAGAAAAAAAACTGCTGATCCATGTGTTTTCTTGGAATGTTACGTTGGAATAATTTAAGATAGACTTCACAAACGTACTTAAGGAAGTAGTAGGTACACGATATTTTGGTATTTTCATGGGACTAGTCTAGGCAGTAGGATGTTTACTCACTGGCGATGTCGGTGGGAGCGTGCGCTAACACGGGTTCTCCAGCTCCGGTCTTCAGCACCACCTCGCCGCCCTCGGTCATGCTCAGCCGGCGGCTGTAGCTTAGCTCTCGACCTGGTTATTGAATATTTAAAAACAAATTAATAAAAATCAATTCATTTTGGAAACGCACATACTTATAGGCATGGACCTATAAAAAAAGTTCCATGCTTATAGGTATGTATTATGGATTTTTCCATGTTTTGCAAGACGTCAGTAGATGTTACAGGGACGAGCGTGAAATGCAGAAAAAAGTTTTCATTTTAGGGAAAATACATTAATATCAATCAACTGAGATAAATAATTATCTTATCTCATTTTAATTTATTTCACACAATTAACGTTTTTATTCAGAAAAGTAGTGACGCTCATAAATTGTAACTTTATTTATAATACAATAATGGTCTGTAAGTTTACACTTAAATATTGATTTTGTGATACAGAAATGATTCAGTAAATACCTATTATGCCTGTATGGACTTANTGCCTGTATGTTTTACTCGTAATCAGGTGTTTATAATAAATGTTTATATGCGTATAACATAAATTATATGAAAATGCATTCATGTAATACATTTTATAAATTTCAAGCGTTTTATTTCGTTTCAGATCGTAACTTTAAGAACCTATGTTTTGGCTTCACGGTTGTTCGAGAACTATTTACAAGAAAATTATTCAATTAACACAATGGAATGCTTTGGTTTGGTTACTATACGTTACATTCATAAACGTACCGGTTGGGCTGTGGTGTTTGAAAACAAACCTCAATCTTACCTAATACAGGCTAAACCAATATCTAACACGATTCAATTACTCCTTGTAAGTAGGTCTGTACAGTTTCCGACGAGAACCTTCCTTTAAATAAAACTGAAAGTTGCCTTCTAGGGACGAGTTTAATGCAACTCCGCAAAAGGAACTAGCTAGATGGAATCGCAAACCTATTCGTCTGGTTTGCACCGACAACACACACGATCTAGAATTTTCTCGCCGTTCGAAAGTAAGGTTTTGCTGGTTACAATCAAACAATCTGTTAATGTCAGTGTAGGTATAAGTTTTTAGTGAAGCGTTTGATCTCCGGTCATCAGTTGCCATGCACAATTTACTGCAGCTAACTAAAGCTAATTATAATTTCTTATTTCAGTGAGCTAACTCACTACTGTGCACTGTGTTAAGATTTAACGCATTAACTGATTTGTAATAGGCGACGAGATCGATGGCTTTTAATTTCATAATTTGTTCAAAAGCATGAAATCTGATTGCATAAAATTCGCCTCATTTTCAATTTATTTATAAGATCATTTTTAGTTAATCAAGTACCGTCATAATACTCGTATGTTTTGCTTACAATAAAATTAGAGTTTACGATTCAGACAGGCGTATATCGGGTTGTTATCATCAGCACAAGCGCTCGTGGACTCCTTATCTAAGTATAGCGAAAAACCTTCAGATAGAGAGTCGCCAACAGCCTTTTTGGGTTGGTAGATGTTTGCTATGAATATTGGGCTGAAGAATTGCATATAAATACACTTATTGTAAAATTCGTGTACCTATACTTAGTAGATGGCAATAAGAGGTGCGAAATGGGAAAAGTTTGCTCGACTTTGAAACTTACCAGCCAATAGCATGTAGTTGATTGCGTGTAGTAGCAGTCCTATGACGGCGCATCCGACGATGACCTTGGGATACCGCGGCGGTTGTCCATGCGAGGAGTGTACTCCCAGCTGTAGTGCATTAACCACCAGAGCAAGAGCAAAGGATGCGAACAGCACGTGCACTGACAGTCTTCCGACCACCTCTATCCGCGCCCACCCGAAGGTGTTGCGTAGACGGCCTTCCCTGCCTGTGCTTTCGTCGGCCCTTTCGTACTGTCGTAACAAAAAACGATTATTATCAGCGACTTCTTTAATTTTTCAAATGGTGAATTAAGTTAATGCTAGCCTAGTTTCATAGAGCAAGCTCAACCCCAAAGTTTTGATAGGTAAGTCTTCTTGAGACTTGTTCTCTTCTCTAGATTGTGATTTTTTTTCTCAAGACATTATAATGCTGTCTAACAATATTTGCAAGGGTTCTGTATTAACACACTAGATTTTTCATTTAGTGAGTGAAAACACTGAAATATGTTTTCAGGCAACGAATCCCAACCAGAATCGGTTTTCAGTTCTCGATGCTCATGATGCTCGAACCAAGTAAGGTTTATTACACTATTGCGTACCTGAAACTCATGAAGACCTACAGCCTACTGAAGATTGCTTAGAAGTACCTTATAAGCTAAAACAGTGGTGACGAGCCCGACGAGGCGACAAAGCGAGTGGCAGGTGTCGACGAGCAGCGTGGGAGAGTGGGTGAAGTGAGACGCGAACAGGCGCCCGCTGAAGCCGGCAGCTGCCAGCAGCAGAGCCAGCACCGACCGCGGCGGCGGCAGCCATTGCAGCCACTCCTTCATTGCCATTCTTCAACTGCTTGTTCTGGAGAGGAAAATAAAGTGTTAAAGATCTACACGGTATGAATTGCAGTTCCGGCGGAATTGTCAAGCTTATCTGGTAACTATTTAGGAGTAGACCTATTGTAAATGTGAACTGTCAACATTTTAGCATCTGGCATGGCCTGGATGGAGGAAAGAATTATTTTTGCAGGCTATTTAATTGTTCTATATCAATATCATCATAGATCGAATCTATTTCTTCCAGTAATCTGCTTAGTGAATGTCACTCAAGATGTGGGTCATTTCCAATTTCCAATCGTTCTACTAAGTTGCTAGATGTTGATGTCGTCAAATATGGGCAGAGAGACCTATATCCTCGTAATCTTAACAAGATCAACAGACAGAACGTGCTTCATAAAAACATAACCCTGCTTTTAAATAAAATATTTTTTATAATTTTAGCTTTCCTACTTAATTTTGACTATAAATAGTTGCTGTACTAAAAACCCTACAAAAATTTATAGCTTTTAACTTGTCAACATTTGATTATGTATTACCGATCATCTGCGGTGAAGAAGCGGCTTTAATGAGCCTGACCCAATTAAGCCGCGTTAGTTTTTGCCATAAAACCAGTTAGGTCCGATTCTTAAATTCGTCGCTAAGCGATTCTAGTGTAGAGCTTAATGAAAGTTGTTATGGTGCAGTAAGTATCATCTAACGGTCGTACCCATAAACGGTGGAGGAGTGGCGTGTTGACTGGGTCGATACTCAAGTTTGTTTGGACAACACTTTTAATGTTGATTGTTGACTAAGTATGGTCAGAGGTCCAATATTAAGTCGGACGAACGATAATCTAGAGCATAAAGTGCCCTGCCCTCATAAAAGTCATAAGCTTATAAGTTATTTACAGACCATTATTTTATCAGTTTACTTATTCATGGATCATCTAGAATATTTAACATTTTACTGTTCACTCCAGAACTACGGTCTGTCGAGTGAGTTTGAAAAGACCCTCTACTGCGATACAGCATTTCATGCTAATAGGTCACAAACTCTTTCATATTAACCTGGAGGTAGTGGTCATTTCTTAATCCTATCGGGATGTAGCGTCCACTTGGAGCGGCCAGCGGATGATGACACTCACGTCGGCACAGTGCAGTGAGTAATGGGCGATCTCCGGCTATTAGGCTAGCGGGAGCCTCATGCCGAATGCCGATGTATCTCAGAGTACATACCTACATCATATATGTGCCGTCGTAGCCATTTAAAAAAATATGTTGGGTTATTTATTTCATAAGTTACCTGCAACATGTGTGTTTTATCACACCACTTATAACTTGACTACCGATTACTTTACTGGGAACCGATCTTGGTTTGAACTCCTTTAATCTATCTTGAAACAATATTGCAACTCTTAAAAAAGATTGCAATTATTTGCAATAGATATCATTTTCACACTAATCCACGGGCTCTTCTGATACAGTTTGTCTCTCAATGTAACGGTACAACAAATACCTTTAAGGTCTGTTTTCTTTTGTGCGTTAAACGTCGCGCTCTATTAACTTTATTTGAGATCAACAATCGGCTACCTTTTTTGTTGCACAGCCGGCAACCAAGTTTGCGGAATTCAGAGATGACATTGCTTCATATTAAGTTAGTAGGGAGGTTTGATGAATATACTCGTATGATATATTGTTAAATTCCTTAATTTGGGTTGCCTTTTTATCTACCTGGATGTTGATTGTTATTAATTTGTTTTACTTTTTTATTTATTTACTTCTGCAAGTTGTTTGTCTTGCTTTTCAGTAATTTAGTGTTAATGCACTGAAGCATGAAGTGCTCTTCAAAACTACGCACGAAGCTTCTATATTCTGAGGCACGAAGCTAACATTATTTGATGTGATTTACTGCTAAGAAATAAAAAAAGAGAGATGTCTTTGTGAAATGTTTGTTTAAAATTGGATATTAACGGCCGTTATGTAGAGCAAATGCCTGCTGCTTGAACGTTAGTCGTACAAAACAACACCTACGCATAACCTATTTTTTTGTGGCTTACTTCAAAAAAAAAAAACACGTGTATTCTATAATTTCTGAGTCGACTACTAGATATTTTTATTATTTTCAATTGCAGTTGTCTGTTATTTATAAATTTTATCCCAGAGTTGAATGAAGGTCTCAATTGTTTTCCAACACTTCAATAGTTATTATCAATCACACCATTAATTATGAACAGTTAACAAAGCATGAATAAACTTAATGTGGGATACTAATTGCTAATATTTACTTAACTAACGAATTGTTAAAAATAGAATGAAGATAATAACAACAAGATTAATACAACGACAACGAAATGACAAGATCGCTAGCTACATGCGTACCTACTTATTCTTTAATAATAATTTCATTTAATTTCATTTAATGAAATGATTTGGTTAGCTGAGATAATGACGTTTTTTACACCAGTTAAAAATGTCGCTATTTATTTATCTAATAAAAATAATATTAGCATATAAAATTACTTATATCGATTGTTATGAGATAAAGTAATTCTGCATTCACTGAATTCTACTTTCTTATCAGCAATATTAGTAGCACAGAGAATAAAGAACAATGAAATGCGCTATTAATTTCATATCAAAGGCTTGAATAGTTGCCATGGATATTTATTAGATTAGGGTAAGTATTGCAATTAAGACAGTAGCAATTAAGCGATAAATATTTCAGCTTAACTACCTACTCTATAAACGATATCGATCGTTATAATGCCTATTATTCGTGATTAGATTATGTCTGCTTCACCGTAGATACATTACCTTCGTATCGTAAGGATCTCATTAGCATACATCGGGTCAATTTCTGAGGGTAGAGGTACAAATCGCACATTCACTCCCGGACTCATCTGTAACTTGCATCATCATGATCTTCGATAATTTACCGTTTACATATTTACCACAGGCAAAACGAGGAAGGATTTGGTCTACTCTCCGAAACTACACGGCTCTCTAACTTTATAATAAAGAATCATACGTTTGAAATAATTAATAGTTTTGACAATATGTATTTCATAAAAAAAAATGGCTGTTTAATGCAGTTATTGTAAAGGTAAAGAGATTTGTCATTCAACATGTCCAAGAGTGATGTACTTATTGTGGCAACAGCTGCACATAGCCCAGCAGCAAGGTGAAACAATTAGGCACACCATCTTATTATTATTTTAATGTGTAAACAAATGTTCTCAAGCATTGTCGTCTCGCTAAACGACAAGTTAATTAGTTTGACACTAATTAATTTTAATTTTGACGTAATTAACATTTTTAATCTCGCATAATAATAATAACCTCTAATAATAATAGTCTGTCTTAAAATGTTTAAATTGCCATTTAATTATCTGGTGGCGAATTTAATGCAGTTAGAGCATTCACTTGCAGGAAAAATAAATCATTAGTAATCTTATAGATGGAAAGAAGAATAACACAATAATTAATGACCATAACTCCAAAATAAACCGAGTTTGTATGAGTAGACAACATAGCGATATTTAAATAGAGCTAACATTTGGCCCAGGCGGGATTCGAACCCGCAACCGATAGCGGCTCTGTTGTTCGGTACGTCATCCAACAGGTCAAGTGGCCGTAGATAGTATTTATCGGAGCATAAAGTAGACCCAATTTAATAGATATCTAGATGTACTTTGGAAAGTAAACTAAAAACCTCTCATATGAACCTCTCTATTATAATTTGTATCATATGAATCAAAGAAATGAGCGTCGTTCCTGTAAGTACTAGGTATTGCAAAAAAATTCAATGGCAGTCGATTTATTGTAAGCGAGATGGGTGAAATTAGAAAGGTCAGAGAAAATAATACGAGTCGTCTACACGGCTGGGCGCGCGCCTACAATTGACATTGATAGACAGTCAACAAACAAACAACCGTGAACTCACCACACCGCGCTGCCGCGATATTTCTGTATTGTTTTATTGGCACGAAAAGTCCGGTAAAACTAGGAAAAACTCGGCAAGCCAACGCACTATTTCGTAAACACACTAATCGAAATATTTTCACAACATTAATAAAAGTTTATAACTTACACGAATGATTTGGTTCTTTTCGTCCGCAAAAGTAAAAGTAAAGCAATCTTTGTCACAACACGTTAGTTTATTAAACACTCGCCGGCCAGTAGTTCAGGCACTTTTAATATTGTTTATAGTTTGGTTACATCCACTGTTATGCGGTGGGAGCGTCGGCTGAGCCGGAGGCGGCGGCACTGAGCGCGCGAGCGTCTTATCGCGACTCTTGCGCCGATAAGCGAGCTGTCGAACTGTTAAGCACCCGCCGCGAACTGAACCGCGAAGCGAACCCGCGACCGCCGCGAGCCCCGGGCGCGACCAACTGCGTCTGCCGGCAACGACGTGCCACCTCGTTAAACGGTGCTTTAAAGGCTCATACTTTTTATTGGGAGAGTTAATTTCGTGCTTAGCGATTGCGCTTAGAGTATCAGTTTTTTTTAAACAAATAAATATTATCAAAGTGATTCTGTATATAGCCTGACCAGGAACATAAAAACCCTGGCATAGAGGCGCGTCAATTGCATTTGATAGTGCAACACTGAGTACAGTCGTACCTGTGTTAAATTAATAGGCTAACTTTATGTATCAGGATTCTGGATTACGGGCTAATTTGATATTTTCATAAATTTACGAAAAAATATTATTATAGGTAACCTGGTTTAAATAAATTAAATGAAACCATCAATCGAGTTTGTAGGATTTATTTTATTATTCGTCAATAATCAAATTCAGAACTTGAATATTCAACTGCAATGTCTGCTCATGAACGCTTCAAACTCGGTACTTCTTTCCCAATTCCATAAAATTCAACACTTAGAAAGTGACAAAAAACTTTAAAATAGGTAGTTGAAACAAACCACAGCTAATTTTGCATAGTGGACTGTACTATACGATAAACATGTCAGTCAATTTGACAACCTTTGTCGGAAACATTATTCAATGAAAATATTGTCCGAACCCTTAGTATTTCTCTTCGACAAATACTTTAACACATTGTGAACCACTTTTCTTTCATGACTATAAAAATATTTTAGCAATTTAATTCACAAAATCAATTGCGCACATTTAAAATAAAGTTTGTTTACACTTTGACAGCATAGACTGACATGCAAGGTGACATGTCAATGAAGTTTTCAGTTACTGTTGCCATTAAAAGAAATTAGTACCATTAGTTTTCCGCAATATGGCGAGGGTTTTTATGTTCCTGGTCAGGCTATAAGTGCTATAAGGTCATAATTTATCTAACTAATGATACATTTATATCCGAACGCATTTTGCGAGGCGCACGTTTTTGTTGACGATATTAGAGTAACAGGTCACGGTCGGCCGGCGTATTTCCGCGCCTAGCGCGTCTCAAAATATCTCTCTTTCTCCTAACGATTCGAACCAGCGCTGAAAAACAGAGATTGAGATCGCGTGGTCATTGGCATCTCGCGTTGTACGTTCAAACATACCTATGTTATATATCTATCGTATATACGACCAATACCATGTTACATTTTAGTGCGAGTATTTCGCCTTTAAAAATGTATGGGCGAGAATTTAGATGCCCTGAAAAGGATGTAAAAGGTACGCTATAACGTAGTACAATGCTTCATAATGAAAAGAAAGTATGTATAAAAAATGCATTGAACACAGATGAAGACGGAGGCGGGCGGCGTTAGATATTTTTGAGAAGATAAATATTTAAAATCTTTTTTTAATCTGGTCAAAGTTAAAGTTCTCCCGACCAAAACTTTCAATATGTACCTACCTACTGTATGGGCTTTTCCAAAATGAACAAATTTTGGTTTCTGTTAGGTAGAGCCATACGAGAATTTGACAAGTAGGTAGGTAGATCTAGATATTATTATGTCACTATACACTGTAAATAGATGGATCAGTTTTATGCGTGCTTTTATTTTTTCAGCTGGAAAGTCCAGCAGATGTGACATTTTCCATTGAAATGTTTGTTCACATAAATCGAAAAGACGCGGAATCAATGAGAGAAACAAAGCGGATTCCTCCACTATTCGCCACGGTGAGCACCGCGACCGATGGTTTAACACCCGTACTAATGTCAATGGGACAAACTTGTTTATTTACATTTATTTATGTAATTTGTAGTAATATGTATTTTAAGGCAGAACTACAATACTCTACTTTACTTTAATAATAGATACCAACGTTAACGAAAGTAAAACCACCTCCGTTTATCGTCGAAATTGTAGATTCAAAAAAGTCGTAATGTTTTTGTCTTGAATCTTTATTTTCCAAACATAACTTAATTAAATTCAAAAGGCAGGAATAGCATGACATTTTTAACATTTTACAAAGTGATAAAAGAACACTATGCACTACATTTGTATGCACAGCTTTACAATTTAAAATAGCTAGTTATTTAATGTTAATCGATTTAAACTTACCTTATTTATTTACTGTGAGTATTATTGAAACTTGTCGACTTCAAGAAGTCCTTTTGTATTTAGGTCAAAGATAATGTTATTAATTATTGTATGATACAATATTACTACTAATCGTTCATAATCTCGATATACCTAAGTATTATTGTTTGAAGACGTTACCCTTATTGATACTACATATTAATAAAAATAGAGATTTCTGGTAATAATTGTACAATACATATAAGAATTTTTCAGTGTCAGGAGTTTGAGTCTAGTTGTAATTGAATTTGGGTCCCTACACTGTGTGGACCTAGGTTCTTAGATTCGACTTTAGATTGGTCCTTAAAAATATTAAGTACCTAGTTAAAAAAGGTTTTAGGTTTCAGGAATACATTTTGCGCAATACATTATCTTGGTTTGATGAAGTATTTAATTTACGATTTTACTGATCGTAGTAGTGTGTACATAATATCGTATGACCTTACGATTTGCAAGTAAGTACTGATAAATGCATGATTTTAAAATATATTTTCAAATTGATATGATAGCTATAAATCAAGGTCCAATCAAATTATGTCAAGGTGAGTTATCAAAAACAAACAGCGCCTACTTAAGGTGTGGTGTTTAAACACAATTAGTATACATTTTACGGTAAAGAAACTAATTTTATAGTCATGTACAAAATTTTATTGCTTTAAAAAGTTTCAGGCTCTCTTGTTAGTGTTTTGTAATTGTATGAAAGACATGAAAGTTTTCAGGATTAATAAATTATCCATATTTATTCGATAAGTAGAGTCAAGCTTCTAATTAACTTCACGCCTTAACTCTACACCTCAGTCAAATAAATCCCATCAGGAAATCTTTAACGTTTTACATAAATTATTGACTTGGCCATCGCACTAAATAATTTAATTTACACGTGTTTTCATGCGATGGCCAAGTCAATATATTTTCATTTGTATTTTGTAGACAGCAGTTATNGAATATGTACTCGTTATATTAGTAGTAGTAGTTGTACAATATTGTCATAGCTGGGCATTAACTCGTTAATCCGTTAATCGTTAATTAACGAAGTTAACATTTCTATTAACGGATTAACTTTTAAGTTAACTTTAAAAAATGTTAACGGACTCGTTAACTTCCGTTAAATTATCCTAAGTCCGTTAATCGTTAATCCAGTACCTACTATTTACCAAAAAGATACAGCAGGCACGCTGAAAAACACTAGAATAAAAATTAGCCAAGTGCGTGTCGTGCCACGCGCAGTGTAGGGTTCCGTAGTTGTCCGTCATTAACACAATATATTTCAGAAGCAAGCAATTACTTCATCTTAAGTCACTTTTAATATTTTCTTCTAAGGAATTTTCACTAGTTAAAGAATTTTATAATATATTAGTTAATTTTTTTTTATTTTTTTTATTTAACAACTTAAAGAAAGTTACATTGAGACAATTACATTTAGATAGCTTTAAAAACCACTAGGGTTTGATGTAAATGACTATTACTCTTAATCTAACTGATGTATTTTAACCGCTACAGTTTTCCTTGAAAGTTCATGAAAAGTAGTAGAGTATCGATACGAATTTTTCTAGATTTTTAAAGCCAACAGTTTAATTTTAAGAGGGGGGGGACGCCCTTCTTGAACAAAAATTGGCACTTTAAACTTAAATATTTTGCAAACCGATCCCTAAAACGAAAAATAGTCTTAGAAACCCCTAAGTAATTTTAAAAGACCTATCCAACGATACCCCACACAATGGGGTAGAAGATGAAAAAAAAAACATCCCCACTTCACATGTAGGGGAGATACCCTAAAAAAAAATTTTTTTCTATATTTTGTTTTACCGTTTTGTCGGCGTGATTAATATCATACCTCCACAATTTTGATAATATTGCGCTATTTTTTTATTGCGCTGATTCTGCTCCATACTGATGTCTGGAGCCTTTAATGGATGGTATTGTTTGTTTACACATGTATACGATGTCACCATTTTGTAGCAATATCTTACAAAACTTGCGCGCAAAAAGCACATCTAGTATGTAAAATCATCAAACTTCTAATGCTCGTAACTTCGTTCAGAGTTTAGAGGTATACATGTCATAGTAAGTTTGGTTTATTACACTATTTTGTAATCAAATACGGAACCCTAAAAACGGTTTGGTCGATGGCCGCGCGAATTGTCTTTTGGTATACTTATGTAAGTACGATGAAAATGCAATGTTATGGTACCATTAAGCTGGTCTGATGATGGAGTCAGGAGGTGGCTATAGGAACNGTATCTAGAAAATGGACCGAAATTGAAAAATTTTACTCGACTTGGCGGTTGCACTACCGTGCCCCCAAATCTCATTTCTTTTTGTAGTTTGTAGACAGCAGTTATGTATCTAGAAAACTGGACCGAAATTGAAAAATTTTACTCGACTTGGCGGTTGCACTACCGTGCCACCAAATATTTTAGTTTTTTCATTGATTCATACACCCAATACTACTTATATTCCAAATTTGAAGCTTCTAGGTCTGCTAGAAGTGCCTTAGAATTTTGATGATCGGTGAGTCAGTGAGTGACAAAATTAAGCAACTTTGACCCGTTATAATTCTTAAACTACTGGTTCAAATTGAATGAAATTTTAAATATACCGTGTCTTTACAATGCCTGCATAGCTAATGGAAATTCAGCCTTCTAGTTTTATCCACAACGAAGTTACAGGCGGTCGAAAATGGCCTGAATTGCTTCGAGAAAAGGATGGTACGGCCGTGCCGCTTTTTTGCTCGACTTGGTGGGGGCACTGCCGTGCCCCCAGATATGTGGCACGGCCGTCTTAGGTAAGAAAACATGAATCATTTAAAAATAACACTTAACAAGTTAAGGGGGTTTAGAGTAATCTAAGGTTATGGGCCTCTGTAAAAGTTAACGCTATTTTTTTATCAAGTTTCGAGTAGAAATATAAACTTATCAGATGCATAGAGCAAGACAGACTTAGGAAAGAAGAAAATGAAACTGACAAAGTCATTATGTACCAATGACGGGATAAGCGAAATTGATAAAATTAAAAGTTTGCCTTACTTTATAATAAAATTTTATAAAAAATACCAAAAATATAACATAATGTTACGTGCTGCAATACCGCCTCTACCTCCGTCACTGGGTATGCGTTATTTACTTTAAAATAATTTATCATTAAATGTACAACAATCTCAGCAACACAATGTGGTTAGATACCTTCCTCCACGATGTAGAGTCTGTGATCTATCAATCCATTATATTTATTTGAACCCAATAGTTAATTGTAGTTTTTACTGAGGATTTTTATTAATTTGTTTCATAAAGACGTGAAAAATATTATCTAAAGTATTCTTTATTACATGCTGAACATTGATGGAAACACGCCATATCTTTGGCTTGTCTTTCTTGAAGGTTCAATTGCCTTGTTTCAGTTCAGTATTGGTTGTAAATTTCTTATCGTAATCACTTGAAGATTAGGCAATAAGTAAATATGATAACTGCATAAAGTGGTTGTTGGATAATATAAATAAAATATTAGCAATATTTGGTTTCAGACATGAACGCCAGCATGAAAAAGCGCGGGCCCCGGCCCTCGCTTAGTAAGCGGGCACACTCCAGCAGCCCAGTCGCACCACGTGCTAGAGTATGTTATAAACCCTATTATTACTTTATTCTACTAACAAATCATTATCTCTTCTAGTTTTTGAGTAATGTGTCTTGTTGTAGCTATGTACTTTCTTCTATTCTCTCCGCATTGAAAAGTTTTATGAAACTTTTTATTAATTACTATAAAATATGCAGTTTCGGGACTTGTGAAACCGGAAATAATTATAAAGCAAATGAAAACAAGTCGCACCCATTGATATCCGAATAATAAATCGATAGCATCGTTTTTATCGACTCTACCAACCTTCATACGAGCCGGGGCTGCAAATAAAACGAATCGAAGGTTTTACATATCAGTTACGAAGTCATAAATAACAAAACGAGCGTTTGTGTTCTGGGAACTTTGCTCGTGCTTGAACCTAAATCAAAGTTTTTATTTATTTTGACATTGCAGTAATGCAGAATGCATGCTTCTCATAACAATATATTTGAGTCTTAAGTCAGCTTGAGAGGTTTATCATTATTAAGATTTTGTAGATTTTATGGTGAAGCAAGGATTTGTTAGTTCGTTCGTTCGTTTCAGCCGAAAGACGTCCACTGCTGGTTAAAGGCCTCCCCCAAGGATTTCCACAAAGACCGGTCCTGCGCCGCTTGCATCCAGGTACCTCCCGCAACCTTCACCAGATCGTCGGTCCACCTAGTGGGAGGCCTGCCCACGCTACGTGCAATACAATTACTATTGCACTACGTGCAAAACAGAGCAATTTAATTAAAATAGTTTTTCTTTATAATTCACTAGCTGACCCGGCGAACTTTGTTCCGCCTTAATGGCAATAAATAAGCAGACTTTTTTTAAATTTCGAACGGGATAAAAAGTATCCTATGTCCTTCTCCTCGCTCTAAACTACCTCCCTGACAATTTTCAGCTAAATCGGTTCAGCCGTTCTTGAGTTATAAGTGGAGTAACTAACACGACTTTCTTTTATATACATAGATTTATGGTTACGTTATGTTTTTAGAGTCCTGTCCAAATAAAGAAGCCTGGTTTAGAAAGACGATGCCAAAGTTTGTCACCGTCAAGTGTAAGTAACGTTTATTTTTTGTCGTTAAACTACTTGTGGGTGAGACGAGGACTTTGTTACTCTTTCAATTAGACGAAAAAATACTACGTATTATATTATTAAATATTAATTTATTTTAGCAAGCGTCAAGAAAGTCGATGCTGCGACCTGCGTTTGCACCGACGAGTGCATCTGCTCCCGAGACCGCCAACAATACGAATCCTACAAATTCACAACCGGAATCCGACGGTAACCTCAAAGCCTATATGATATTGTTAAAATTACCATACTAGACCATTTTAAAGCTAACATAGAACCTTTATTATTACCAAAAACATAGTCTAAATAATGTAGAGTCATAGTAAAAGGCATGTAAAAAGTAGCTAGTATTGTTAAAAATTGCTATTAGGCATAATAATATTTGAATTACATTATGGTACTAGTGACGAGATTTTCTTTTTACAGAAAAAGAACCCGTGTTACCGCAATGCCTTATAACAAAAATGTTAAGAAACTTGGCAACGAAAAAAAGAGAGTTTATTAAATTGAGAAAAAGTGTCATTTTACAGCAAGTGAGATGCCTTCTAATTTGAATCGGAACCTGTTATTTTTGTAAGCTACAGATTAATGAAGTTATTGTTTGCAGAATTCTTTGCTAGAACATTTCGCTGCTCTAAAAGAGTTAGAATCAAGAGCTGGTGTCACCAATGAAGAAGGATTGGGTGATGTGAGGATCCTGTCGGTCTCGGGCTGGCCTGCTCACGACCTCCTGCTGCTCGTTCGTGATGACCTGGCGACACCATTAAGCGGGGAGATTAATGGCCTTTTCGGTACACCAGACTTTCCACGACTTATCGATGAGATAACCTTCTATACTTACACGATAAAAGTAATACGTGTTAAATTACCTTCAACGATGATAACGTAACACTTAAGAAATGTAATTTATATTTATGATAATTGATAAAAATGGTTACCAAGTTAAGCTTACCTATGTGTATAGGGTGTGTATTTGCATGTTAATAACAGCTCTTATGGTTAAAAACATAGGGCCCCAAGTTCTACAGCAGCTCCATGCTCAGCTGAACCCGATTCCTGAGGAGGTGCTTGGAATGGGAGCCGAGATCATGGCACGACGTATCGAACTCCTCAATCTTCTTCGAGGGAAGCACAGGACAGATCGAGCTACGTATCTCACTGTGAGTTTAGAAATGAATAAGAATAACAATAAAAAATAAAATGCTATTGGTTTTCTAAACAAACAAAAAAATAGCAGTATTATTGATTAAGTGATAGCACTGGCCACTGATAAACATAAGTACTTAATTCTTACTGTTCATTCTCTATTTTAGAATTTAGAGTGGAAAACGAAAAATACTGAATTTGACCACGAAACAGAAAAATTGCATAGAATGGTTGCAGGTACAGCAGAGAACCTAAAAGCTAAAATAAATTATTCTTTGGAACTAGCAAGGTATTACTGAATATGTACTCGTTATATTAGTAGTAGTAGTTGTACAATATTGTTNATGCGATAGCCAATAAAATTATCTATTAGTAAAAGAAGAAAGCAGACACTTTCTTCAGATCATTTGGCTGAAACGAGTGCATTTTCGCATGTTGCGTGCGCTATGGAAAACGCTGGGAAGGGGTATCTTTGTACAACAATTACGTCGAAACTAATACACGTAGACTAATAAATTTACATTCGTTTTGTAGAATAGCTCTAATACTAAAAATACAATGCAAATAAAACATACCTTAACGACCTGGTTTTTCTTGTGTTGGAAAATAACTGAAAAAGAAGTGAAAAAAGTAATGTATTTTTCTAATTAAATCCATTCTTACTCCCATAAAATGTATGAAACTTGTGCCTGCTTTCTTCTTTTACTAATAGATAATTTTATTGGCTATCGCATGATATAAAATGTTTGCCTATTAATGTTAAGCTACCCACGCTTTCACTTGTTTTTTAAAGAAGAGGTGTAAACTAAAAATTAAAAACTTAAATCGATGTAATTTTTCGAGAAATGGGTCAGGCCCCAAATTTGAAGTATTTTCATCGATGAAATTGTCCATAGATTACGCCCTTAAAGTTTGATCACTACATGCCCGGACACACTGTATAGAAAAAGCCACCGTAAAAGTTAGGCTTAAATTATACCATAAAAGCTGATTTGCTTTCGAAATTATTTGAACCTTGCTTGTGTTAACGGATTAACGATTAACGTTAACTTGCGTTAAATCTTGCTGAATGTAACGTTTTAACGTTTAACGAAGTTAACTTTTTTATTAACGGTTTAACGATTAACGAAGTTAACTATTTGATTAACGGTGCCCAGCTATGAATATTGTTAATCCTTAAATTTATATTCAGAGTCCCTTGGTTAGATCGTGATTCGATGATCAGAAAAGTTGAACGTGTGCAAAAAGAAAATATGATACTGCAACATAAAATTGAGGAAATGACAAAGGAAAAACCCGATGATAGTAAAGATGCAAACGGACATGATACAACGCCAACATATCAGGTAAGTAGATTCATTTCTCCTTACACTAACACCGTAACACGAAGGTTTAGTTTGGGACACCTGAAAAAGTATCAATGGTTTTGAAGGGGTACCTATGGACATACTTAGCTCCTTTGTTGTTTTGCCATTGTCCTATCTATTTGTCTAATGTTTAGAATCTAATTACATGATTTGCGAAAGAATAGCTAGCGTAACAGAAGTACATCAATGGCCTGCAAATGCAAAGTTACTCCCGGTGATTGAGCGTACTTTATGTAAGTTATTCTACTGCAGGCGTTATTCGAAGAGCTGACGAAAGAGCGAGCAGCCCGCGAAGCCCTGAAGGAGGTGGTGTCTGCGGCGGAGAGCATGCTGCGGGTGGCGCGCGCGCGCATAGCGACGCTGGAGCGGCAGCTCAAGGACACGCGCGCCGAGCTCGACGCCGCGCGCCGCAAGCACAAAGACCTCGAGCAACTCGTAAACAGACTCGCACTCGAACATTCACATAAGACAGTGAAGTTGTGACACTCTACATACGACTTTGCGGTCGTCTTCTTTAGATAAATTCAAACTCCCTGATGACCAGATTATTGATTGTTAAATTGCAAATTCTGTGAATGCGTCTGTGATTAGCTGATGGATATTTCCATTCAGCTTGCAAGCACTTCGTCTTTCATACGTCTTATTATCAGGCCATTTGCATTTTCTCTTTAATATTTTGAGTTTTAGATCATCAGATAATTTAAAAGCTTTATTCTCTTGAGACAACCACTAACGTTTCCTTTACAGTATCGCCATCGTGAAACGAGTTACGATGCACGATCTAAAAAGCTGCTTGAAGTGTCCAAAACTGGGGAAATTACAATTGAAGCTTTGTCTCGACAACGTGACGCTCTTGAACTCAGGTGCTTTGCCATTTTTTTTTTTTTTAATTTAGTAATTTGTTATTACACAAATTACTAATATTCCCGTTAGCCCCTCGTACTAAGCTAAATATGCTTGTGTCACGAGTGAGCTCACCACAATAGTCGAGCGGCGGCGGGGACCGAACCCGCGTTCCCCGGATCACGAGTCGGCCAGTCCGACCCCTTCACCGTTCGGCTATCGTGGCNCTTTGCCATTAGATTAGCAATATGGAAATAGTTTTAAAAATCTTAAAATCATTTTAAAAAATACTTTGAATATTTTCATGATAGGGTAAAGGAACTTCGCGAACAAGCAGAGATGGCAGAAAGAGCGGCCGAATTCCGTGAGGCCGAACAGCGGGCGAGAGCTGATTCGCTTCAGGCGAAGGTAGCAGAACAGGTGCCTTACATGACTCATGTTATATTTCCATTTGATTTCTCATAATATCCAGTTAGAGCACCAAATGCGGCGTCTATTTAATTCTTTATGAAATTTGTCGAGAGTATAGTTTTTTCAGGAGAAATGTAAAGAGGTTGCTGAAGATAAAGTGGGTGAGCTTGAAGCGCGGGTTAAGGAATTGGAAGAACAACTTTCAGCCTTACGAGAACGATCGGTGAGACTGGTTGACATGGAGCGCAGAAGGTGCCTTGAATATGTTCCATCAAAAGGTAAGTAAACAATAGACAATAATCATCATTCCATTAGGGAGCTAATCAACCTATGAACCTACCCGATCAATATTATCATTGTTATTTTCTTTATAGAAAATGAGCCATCTGACAGAGAAACGGAGATATGGAAGGAGCTTCAAGTTACGAGAGTTGCGCTGTCCCGAGCAGAAGAGGAACTACGCCAAAGTCGAGCTGACAAAGACAGTTTTCTAAACTCTCTATCGAGAATTGCGGTAATAATTTAGCTTTTCTTTTACACAGGGACTACAGGAAGTTCTAAAATAACATTACACAACACCATAGTTCCAACCTATCAAAAATATTTACATTTTTTGTCATATTGTGGGTACCTCATTCGAATTCTAGCTTTTCGTGTTTTGGGTAGTTGGTGAACTTTTAGGTTTTTATGTATTCAGTGGACGGCCTGTGAAATGTAATTTTTATGACTTTTTCATGGTAATATAGGTTCATTAGGGTTTCATGGTATAATATGTTAATATGATAAATTATTTGAATAAAGTACTTTTTATATTTTTCAGCAAGGAGAAGGCACGGATAACTTACAAGATAAGATGGCTACGGAATTGTTAGACAGGGAACAAAAAGTTGTCAAATTGCAACATATCATAGAAGAACAACGAGAAAATGAAAAACTAATGTATGCTTCTCGGGTATCTTCTACTGAATTTTCTTTAAAAAGTAGCATTTTATTAACTTTTTGTATTCATCACAGGGAACAAACTATGACTCAGTATGAGAATCAATTAGCGGCGCTGCGCCTTGAAGTGAAACGATTAAGAAATTACGACTGTTATGCCAAAGAAGTCCAGTATCAAGAATTGCAGACTGAGGTAAATACTAAGGTATTTCGTCATCTTTTGGCTGGTCTAGAGATGCCACATCCTTTATTAACAGGCACCTTTTTGTAGTTGTCGTCCTACATTCAGTTAGCGAATTCAGTTTACAAATTTTGCACATTCTGTATCACGGGAATAACTTCAATACGTCATAGTTCACCCAGGTGTACCACGGACAATGACTGAATACAAGACTTGAACCACTGATCCCCTGAAGTGTTATCTATTATTTACAGCTGCTAGAGATGCACATGCAAGTGGAGACGTTGTCGCGTGAGCGCACGGCGCTGGTGACCGCAGCAGCGTCGCGCGCGCTCATGCTGGAACGTCACGAGCGTGCAGCTGAACTTTTCGCGCGAATGACACGCGCGCGTCGAGACCTCGCCGCCCTCCTAGATGGACGGACAGAACCGCCTCCTATAGAGGAGGCAGCGCATGCAGAGGTAATTAAATTGTTTTGTCTTATACCTTTTAGTTTGTGTGTCAGTTATTGAAGCGAAAATTTCTTGGTAGAGACCAATACATTCCAGTGTGCAATAGTTCTCAACTTGCATTTTGTTTGGGCTATTCGTGGCAAAAATTGTAAATCTGGTGCCACCACAAACCCAATATTTAAACAAGCATCAAAAAAGTCTCAAATCTCACTCAAATACACATTATCCAGGTGTCCAGATCTCTGTCATCTGTGTGCGCGAACGCAGCGGACACATGGACAGCGTTGCGAGCTGAGCGCGCACGCGTTTTACGCCTGGAAAGCGCCGTGCTGGCTCAGAGCCTACAGCTGGAGCGCGAGGGCCGCGTGCGCACACAGCTGGAGCGCCGCCGTGCTATGCTGGAACGAGACCTGTTGCGCGCTCAACACGCCGCCTCCTCCGAACACTCCACAATGGGCAAGAATCCAAGTTTGGTATTTCTATGAATTAGTTTATTTCTTTCTGTAGAATAGCTGCTACATAGATAACTAAGCCTGCTGCACTGATTTTAGTTGGACTTAAAAGACATAGCACAGTGCTCGAGAACTGTCAATAGTCACATGATACGAAGTAGACTGTTTGGTAACCATGTAGGTACTTTATCAGTAAACCTGAGCACCTTTGTAACTGTCAGTGCTTTTAGGTATGGGAGCGGCACGGGAGGAATGATTTTGACATATAGTTCCAAAATATAGTTCCAAAATACTGGACTGTCCTGTCGATGACATTGACAGTGGGGCGCCACCGTCAATACCAGATCGCTGGTTCAGATTTTTGCCATGTTGGAAACCATATAGTTGAACGATGGTAGCGCCCCCCTGTCATTGAGTTTGGTGGGACAGTTCAGCGTGGGTCATCTATACCTATTATGACGTGACAGAGCATACAAATCCTGAAGTCTCGCTGATATTTGACATAACAAAAAACCCTCTCGCGCCGCTCCTATACCTCAGACACTGACTCAGATAAGCGCTACAGCTATAGTTGGTAGAAATAACTTCATATACGATGCCTTTCGAGTTGATAAGTTGGTATTTTGTGTCTTATTGTATGATAGTGTGCAAAAGTTTCTTTTCAAAGTTAATAAAACAAGTAAGTAACCATGATTTATTTTTGTCCACCTTTCCCGTTCTATACCTACCTCAGAAATATACTAACTTAACTAGTAGGATCTACCTAAAGGACTAAGCGGGAACTGGACTTTTTGTTTGACAANCTACCTACCTGGACTTTTTGTTTGACAATTTGATTAACCTTTCATTTACGTTTCCAGATTCCGGACATTTTTTGGCATAAACAAGAGAAGATGACAGCATTTATGTATTATTAATAACAAAACAATAGAAACCTGTTTGTCATTATTAATAAAATATTGTTATTAATTTCAGAAAATAAGTTTTATTTATTACAAAACAAAACGACAATTAAAAACAATAGGTACGAAACGAATATTTAGTAAAATTATGAAAGTCGATGACCAGCGAATTTAAACATTTTACACTTTTTATCTTCACGAAGTTGAATGGGAGTTATGAAATTAAGATTTCTTGACAGATAAATATCTTTTGGTCGCGTCGGTATTTTCCCTCTAGAAACAAAGTTTTCATGTACCGTTGGTGGTATGTCGTACACATTCAGTCCGGGCCCTGGGGTAGAGACATACTTTTGGGTATCTATACTTGTAATAGCCTTTTTTCGGTCTAAATTGTCACTTTTATGTTCGTCGTGTGGTTTTTTAGAATAAGAATCGACTACAATTTTTGTAGGCATATTTTCGTGGTGGTCTTCGTATACTGAAATATTGTTTCTATCATGATGCGCATATCTTTCACTTTTATTTGGATTTATATGATCTCCAGCGTAACTCTTTTTAGTGAAATACATGGCCTGAGTATGATGACCTCTAGGATCCACTGGACTTTCCAATTCATCTTCGAGTATTTTAATTATACTGTCTAGATTATCAGCTGGAGTATCGATGCTTCTTTTGCGTTCCATGTGGTATGTTTCATATTCTGCTATTTTACTTTCCAAGTATTGTATTTTCTCTTGATCTTTTCTTCTATGAGCGCTCGCTTTGCGTGTTTGGTCTTCCAACGTTAGTATGATCTTTTCTAATTGACTTATTTGCTGTTTTCTTGTTTCGAGGTTTGTAACAAGTGATTCAATTTCAGCATTTTTGTCAGTCAACTGCTGATTAAGCTGCGATAGACATGAAAGTATTTTGTTAGTAATTATTAAAGAAAGAGCTGAATCGATTTGTAAATTAAGGAAATAAATGTATGTTTCGTACTTACATCCATATCTGCCTGAGTCCGTATTTCCAAGTTATTTCTAAGCAATTTAATTATATTAGTATGTTCTTCTTCTTTTTCTGATAACATCTTTATAATCCCATCTCTTTGCTCTATTATGTGTTCTTGTTCTGCAACAGTTTCGATGTGTCGCTCAAGCTCCATATCTTTCTTCTGTAATGCCTCTGCGAGTTCACCGTTTTGTCGAGTAGTTTCCAATAATTTAGCTCGTTGTTGATTTATCTGATGGAAAAATATAATTGAAAATTAACTGTATAAAATAAAAATAAAACATTATTAATAATTACAATTACCATTCCATGTAGTTCTTTTAGGTTTTCAAAATCTCCGAAGTCCTCTTGTAATTGAGAGATATGATTTTTGAGAGATTTTAGTTGCTCTTCGTATGACGTCATTTTACTTTCACTGTGAAAATAATTGAATTTCATTTGTATCACGGTTAACACTCAATAATTAAACAGTTAATTTGTCTAGTTTGAGGATGTTAATCTACTGCCTGTAATATGAAATGGCACGCAAGAATGCTCTACATTTGAGGATAAGTTTCTATTTACCTTTCCTGTAACTGTTGTTCTAATAAAGTTACTTTTTTCTCTAACTCTGAAATATATTCATCTTTATTTGATATGTCTTGCCGCAAGTCTTGCTCCAATGTTAACGTTTGTTTGAAGTTACGCTAAAACAAAGTTATAGAGCGGTTTATTATTTTTACTAACTCTACCTAGTACTCCTATTTTGTTTTTAGTTTCAGGTTACCTCGATTTCCTTCAAAGCATCACACTGCTCAGCAAGACGTTTTCGATAGCTGTCCATTTCTTCATTAGCCAAAGTTAATTCATGTTTTGTTAATTCTAACTCTCTCAAATATTCAGTAGCTTTACCTTCAAATAAAAGTTATCAATACATATTTTTTCGTATCAAAATCAAAAGATTATATTTATTAGTTGACGTTCTAGATACCTATCTATTAGGTATTGCTTGTATGATAAAATATTGATACTTACAAAGCTGCGCCTCTTTTTCTTGTAATTGTTTACACATATCTTTATGTCTCAGCTCGGACTCTAATAACTGCGAGCAAAGCGACTCCACTTTGGCTTCCAATTTGTGTTTTTCTTCTTTTTCATCCTCATATCGTTTCTCAATTTCTATGAGCTTAACCACATTGATATTCATTTCATGCTTTACATGTTTCAGAGATTCATTATAATGGGTAGACAATTCAGTAAGGCGTTTCTCCAAATCCTCTTTTCTGAAATTGAAATGTTATTAAGCAACATTTATGCACAAATGCAGTGTACAAAATAATCTGAAAAATCGCAAAATAAAATATAATAACCATCCAAATTATTAGGTACTAAATAAGTAGGTAGATGTATAATTATTTAGTTTGTAGTTTTTTATATGTTTATTTGATATTTGAACTAAGACTTACTCAGTTTGCAACTTTTCACGCGCTTCAGCGATTTCCTCCAAATGCGAAGTATTTTCTCGTATAGATTCTGTAAACTTATTAAGTTCCTTGTCAAACTCGTGCTGTAACTTTTGATTCTGCAATAAACAATTATTGTTACTCTTATGAGTTTGGATTCATTAGAACAAGATGTAGCAAGGTAGTTTGCAGGGTTCGAAAANGATTATTTTTTTGTTGAATAGGTATTATCAAAAGGGTGGTTTCATGCGAATTTGAAGAAAATATTTCACCCCTAAGGGTGGAAAATTGGGGATGAACTTTTTTATACGCAATATTTTTAATTTTTAGTTTTTTTTGTGTTCACGCATTTGAAGTCGGTTTTATTTTTTTAAAAAGGTAATTATTACTTCTATAAATGTAGTAAAAAAAAAATTAAGCAAAACGAACCAAAATACAATGTAGGTAAAATGTAAATGTAGTTAGATTAATATTAATGTACTTTTGCTTTATGATTATTTGATAAGACTTACTCAGTTTGCAACTTTTCACGCGCTTCAGCAATTTCCTCCAAATGCGAAGTATTTTCTCGTATAGATTCTGTAAACTTATTAAGTTCCTTGTCAAACTCGTGCTGTAACTTTTGATTCTGCAATAGACAATTATTACTTATGAGTTTGGATTCATTAGAACAAGATGTAGCAATAGGAAGGAAAGGTAGTTTGATAGATGTGAAATTTTCTAATTTAGAATAGGTTGTGACCTGCTCCCGTAGTTGCTGCACCGTGCGCTCCAAGTTCCAAGTCTTGGAGCGGGCTTGCTCCAGCGCGGCTTCCAGCTGGGAGGCCTGCTCGCCGCTTATTTTCACCTGCCCCTCCGCACGGGTGAGGCGGTCTCTGATCACAATTCGCTTGCACTTTTCTTCTTTCAGCTGTTTTTCTAATTCCTGCAGAAAATATAGCATCTCTGTCAGTACGTTCTTGTCAAGAAGTATACATTCAGGAAGATCCATTTTTGATAGTTTTTTTATAGCTAAGTAGTGTTGAATATTAAAGAAGATAAGGAGGTGGCGAAATATAAATATTATGAAGTTGTAGGTAGAAGTAGAGCCTGTAAAACACAATGAAAAACGCTTTTCATCGGAAAATTTAGCTGTAGATCTATTTAAATTTGTAAAACTATAAGAAACTCTACTCACAGGACAAAGCTACATTAAATTAATATTACACACCTCGACTCTATTTCTGTTGGCGCTGGACTTAAGATGATCAACATTGTGTATTTGTTTCCTGAGATCATCTTTCTGCGCGTTCAGTTCTGATATTTCATACGTCAGCTGTTCGCTGCGCATCTGGGCGGCCACCGTATCATTCACGCATTTTCTGATGAAGGCTACGATATCATTTAGCTCGTCAAAAAACTCGTTTTTAACCTTTTCCAAGGAGCATGCAAGCATTTCGTTCTCCGCGTTAAATTCATTGATTTTCTTCAGTAATTGACTCAAGCTGACATCCTTAGAACAAGATTAAAAATAATAATTTCATCGGGACGCAATCATGCAACGCAAGTGCTATTAACTGAAACTCTAAACTAACTTACTTTTTTCGTTGTCATGGCTTCTAATGTTTCGATAATTGCTTTTCTCATCACTAATGTTTGCTCGCAGGTTCCAACTAATTTTGATGGCATATTATACAGTTTATTCATATCGATGGCCACTGGCGTTTTTGATGAAGCATCTGCAATATAAGTTCAGCCAGCAAATACTTAAGTAGTTTTCATATTTTTGTTGAGGAGCAATAAAGATAAAGTAAAGCAATATTGCGCTAATATGGTAACATAAAATTTAGGGAATCCGTTGTAGTTCCTGGTATTTTGTAAACGTTGGTCGTAGTACACACCTTCGTGCGGGTGTTTGCCGTCGAAGTGCTTGGAGTTGGCGCACAGCTGCAACAGCTGGTCTGGCGTCAGGTTGGCCACGTTCATGATGCGCAGCTCTTCAGCCGGCGGCAGGTTCGACCGCTGGCCCAAGGCCGACATCTTTTGATGGGTCACTCCCAAGGCCGCGTAAACTTCCATTATTGCTTTCTAAATAACAAAATACAAATATTAATTGCGCAGTATAAGTAAAAATTAGTCAGCAAAATAATTTTAAGTCATGAACCTGTTTTTCATTTAACTCATTTTTCATCTTTTCGAATTGTACGATCTTTTCCTGCCAGGAGATTTTAAGTTGTGTCACTTTTTCGCTTCGCGATGTTATTGATTCTGCAATATAAATAATTGTCATTGTACAAATAAAACTAAATTCAATGCAACAACTTCAATCGGCTCTACCTTTTTCGTTTAAATCCGCGTAAATAGGTGCTCCTTCTAATATTTCACTTTGTTGCAACTCCAAGTCCTCATGCCTATTGATAGTTTCCTGAAAACGACAGAAATTTTCTTGTATTGATAAATTTTCTTATTCACTTACCTTAAATAAACCAGCTGGGCTAGGATGCGCGCCGTGGTAAAATTTTATCGATCACTAGCGGCCACCCGCGACTTCGTACGCGTGGATCCTGTTTTACCCCCCTTTTAGGCGTAGAGTTTCTGAATTTTATTTGCTATAAACCTTTCCAACGAATGCAAAACCGTGGAAATCGGTTCGTGCGTTCTGGAGTTATAGCGTCAGGAAGGAAAACCCGACTTATTTTTATATAGTAGATTTTAGAATGCGTTGTATNCGTTTTCTTTACAATAAGTAATTTGAAGAAAAAAAATTCTATAAAAAAATAAAAAAACATCTCAAAAATTTTTTGACCTCTTTTTTGTCGATAAAAGCAGGTCTAGTTTCATCTATTTTCATAAGTACACTTTAACGTGACTCACACTGTATAGTAGATTTTAGAATGCGTTGTATGCTCCATGTCGCGTAAAATCGATAAAATGGCACGATTATAAAGTTTATCGCGGCGCGCATCTTAGGCCTACTGGTGTTACCTGATCAGGTAGACAAGTCATTGTTCGGTTAGTATAAACGGTTTTTGTCGGTTGTTTCTGTAAATGAATAGTTTGTAATGTAAAAGTGGCTCATGAAAAATATAGCAAAAATATTGAATTGAAAACGTGTGTTACCGGAACCAATACAGTTATTGGCCGAGGTGTTTTGCTGTGTACCATATTTTCATGGGGAATTCTTCTAGGTATCGTTGATGGTCGCTGCATATAAGAGACACTATTATTTTGTAACATTTCTAAGAGAATTCATTTAGATATTAGATCTCTAACATCACAAAGTTTCTGATCTTAATAAAACTTTTCAATTTACCCTCGGAGCCGGCAGGAGTCTCTCTTTCTCGGGCCGCGAGGACCGGTTCACTGGAAACGCAGGCTTTGTGGACGCCATGTCATCTTTTGTTCGATTCGCTGACTTCGGTCTTGGTTGCTACAAGTGATTAAAATACACAATACAAAGAACTTATGTACTCGTATTAAACCTCTAATTACTGTATACCTACTTTATTGTTGACCTAACTATTGAAGCTCTATATTCTACTTAATGTGCAGTCTCTGCCACGTTTGTTTGTAAATTCATTGTTAGCATTTACCTGATACTTTTATTTCAAGTTCATGCAATAGATGAGTCAAATTTCTATTAATTTTGTCCATGATGTTACTACTATAGCACTTGTGATTTGTTCGTATGGGTTTTTTCAGGACCCTTACTTATAAAAAAGGAAACACTTACTTCACCAGATCGTGGTCGTGAATTAGGCCTGGACACGAAGCGAGGCTGTTGTGCTGACACAACCTGAATGTACAATGAGAATTTAAATTAAATACAAACTGTATTTAGTTTCATTCCATTTAACCGCTTGAGTCCCAGACGGCATTAATTAATGTCATAACAATTGATTATCTATTGTGTCTAGATTCGCGGGCCTTGAAGGATTAAAATTTTACAGAACTTACCACCAATTTAGAATTACCAGCGGCTTTCGTCTTGTATGCCGGTGGTTTCTGTCGTGCTAAAGGTAGTCGTTGAGGTATGTGGCACTTGATTGGCCCTCTAGCGGCATTTATGATGTCTACAATAGAAAAAGACTTTAGTTCGCAGGTGAACATCTCGGTTTAGTCAAAATTGTAATATTATGGTAATATCAACTGTTTCTATTTAAAAGAACCTCATAGGAAAAGAGGGTATGAACTATGGGTACAGAACAGAAGGAACTTATGAATTTTTAAAGTGGTTAATTCTTTGAAGCCTGAAGAATTTACCTTGCACCCTCGGTTCACCAGGATCCAAATGTGACATATTATTTCACATAACTTCGAATTTAGATGCTACAAGATTTTCATAAACATCCACGGAATAAAGTCTCGTTCAAATTAATATTCAACAAAAATTTCATTATTTTCAATATTCCAAAAGTGAACGCCGTTGACATACCTACCTACGTCATTTTTGGCAGAAGATTGAAAATGAAAGAAAAGAATAAAAAGCAGTTTAGAAACTCTATTGCCAGTGCTCTGGTAAATGATAATAAAATCATATAAAATAGTTTGTATATCATTTATTGTCAAATGTCATTCAGGTATATAAAACGACTGCCAATTGTTTCGAGTTTAGAACATCAAAAATTACCAAAATTCCAACACAAAGAAATTATTAACAAAATTGTAAATGTTCCCTTTTTCCAATAGAAAAACTGTATAAGAAGTGTAAAGAATTGGCTGTGTTTAATTGTGAACAGTTTTTGCGCTCAGCATGACGACCACGCCGAAAGCGCAAAAAGATAAACCTCGTATGTATCCTTATGAAATTGTAGACTAGCATGTAATGTAACAACTTGTAGTAGCTGTAGTTTCTGATTCTCAATAGGTAGGTTTATGTTCTGGTCAGATAGTTCACCAATTTTGACAGCTGGGGGATGTCAATTTTATTTACTCGCTCAACATCTCAAGATAAATAAATAAATCTTCATGATACAGTAGCATAATCTGCTCTACTAGTAGGTAATTTGGTTAAAGCTAGTAGCGTTTTCCTTATGAATATGATAACATGGCGGTTTTTCATTGTAATAATTTTTCCCATGATTGCGGGATAGTCACAAGAAGATAAGAGTGCCGGCATGAACAATGAGATTATTTAGGTTAGGTCCATATAATGATGACTCATCAGAATGTTTAAATTTGCCGTGTGAAAGTGCTTAAAAATTACATTAAGTTATAGCTAGATTCTAGAACTAAAACCGAATAGAAGCGGTTGATTTTTAAGGTATCTGAACAAACATACCATTGCCAACCGAATCTCTACATCTACAGTGGTCCGTCTATGGTGGAATGGCACTGTAAGAATAAAGAGAAAAGCTTGGAAAATACCCGATGGGTGTTTTTTTTTTCAGATACCCCCGCCCCGCGGCTTACCCCCCGCCCGACAGCGGCGTCTGCCGCGCGCGCGGCTCGCAACGCTACGAATAGAAATCTACTCCTACCCCACGCGCAAAGGCAGTCGCCTAACCGCACGTCGAACTCTCCTGTTTCAGTCAAGGTAATCACTTGCTCGATATTTCTCCGTAATATTTTTGACTAAATATTAGCTACAAGAAGTGGTGTTGTTATTTGCAGGCAAAGAGCCCCGCTGTACGTAATCCTCCGAGATGCGACTCCAAATCTGACATAAAAGTAAGTTTTCATTTCAAACGTGCTCTAGCATCTAGGTACCTAAGTGCTTACTATTCGCAAGATGTTAATTATTTGTTTACTTTTTTTAAGATAAATCGAAATTCCGACGATGGCATTGACAATATTACCGTAAGTACTTATGTCAATATTGGAAATACTAGCCATAGTGTGATTTAGTAAATTACTTATTTATTTATTTTTTAATTTAATAGGTACCACTCAAACAAGAGCATGACAGTTATATCGTGGAGAACGTGTCGGTTGTAATAATGGAAGAAACATCAAACTATAGTAACGTTGCAGACTTAGAGGAGCTTAATGAAACTGACCATTTTGGTAAGCATACGAATGTTTATGTGACAGTTTAATTCTTCTATCTACATACCAAGTACTACTAAATAAAATTAAAATGATTTTAGATGATAAATGTAACGAAGACGAATGCATCGAACGAGTAACAGGTAAATTAACATATCCAGTAGAATCCACAAAGCGTAGTTAGTTAATTTGACTTCAATCTAGAAATATTAATGTTGTTTTTATAGAACAAACTGCACGAAGCAGACCACATACGCCAGCCTTGAGCAGTCGCCCTCAAACACCAAAAAGTCTGCAGTCCAGTCGTCCTCAGACGCCAAGGATTCCAAGCCGTCCCACCACCCCGGTGCACCCTCGCCACAGTACGCCGGCTAGTCGCCCCAACACCCCCCAAAGGCTGGCGACCCCCAACAGGCCCACTACGCCTATTCATGAAAAAATTCAGAATTCAGTCATTAGTCCACCGAGATCACCGATCAAAGAAGACGACGATATCAAGTCGGTGTTCTCAATGAAGCAGAAACAATTTTTGCGCATGAAGAAGGAGTTGGATATGAAACAAGTACGTTCGTTTTCTTGTAGTTACTTCTTGTAACGTTTGTTTTTGCTATAAATGCAATTATATCTTTGTACCACTATGAAAGACCACCACCGCTAAAGAGTTAAAGGCATTTTTAAAGAAGTTTGTTTTGTCAGTCAATCCGATGCAGCTTTAGGCCTTTTTCTAGGCAATTCTTTAGTTATACCACTATGAATTCAAAGGCATACCCAGGTTGAAACTTGAAGTCAGTAAATCAAATCTGAAATGTAAGCCATGGTTTGCGATATTGACAGCAAGCAGTGCTGGAAGTGTTCGACTGCCTCCGCGGGCTGCGCGAGCGCATGTGCCAGGAGGGCCTGGGCGGCGGCGAGGGGCTGCAGCAGCAGGAGCTGGTGGTGTTCAACGTGGCCGACTGGGCGGCCGACGAGGTGGCGCAGCTGTGCCGCGACGCCGCCGCCTCGGCCGCCACTGATGGCGCTGCGGAGCTTATCAACAATATCGTGCCGTTCGGTAATTTATTTGTTTACTAGCGGCCGCCCGCGACTTCGTACGCGTGGATCCCGTTTTACCCCCTTCATCTATCTTACGCGGTTGAGATTTTTTCATACAAATCCGATCCGTCTGCTCGTTTGCCTCCGGTCACATAAAAAAAAAAAAAATGTTTTTTACCGCTAACTCCAGTTCTCGTGGGAATTTTGCAATATCCTGTTGTAACTAAGCTTTAAGTTTACTATGGTACCTGCATGCCAAATTTCAAGCGTCTAACTTAAGCGGTTTAGATTTTTCATACAAAAGGATTTTCCCTATAATTCTCGTTCCCGTGGGAATTCCTAAGTATACTATAACCTGCCCAGGAGTATGAAGAATAATTGTACCAAGTTTCGTTAAAATCCGTCGAGTAGTTTTTGTTTCTATAAGGAACATACAGACAGACAGACAAAAATTTTACTGATTGTAATTTTGGCATCAGTATCGATCACTAATCACCCCCTAATAGGTTTTTTGAAAATATATTTCATGTACAGAATTGACCTCTCTACAGATTTATTATAAGTATAGAAGATAATGGTAACGTATGATTTGTACCGTTCACGATACACCACAGTCTATAACTAATAACTATGCTTCTACAAGACAAATTATAGGTTTAATAGCGCTTAAGTCACTCAGTGCCCGAGGTATGGGAGCGGCACGGGAAAGTGTTATTTGTTACGTCAAATATCAGCGAGTCTTCAGATTTGTATGCCCTGTCAACGTCATATTATATTATTCATCATCATCATCATCATTTCAGCCACAGGACGTCCACTGCTGAACATAGGCCTCCCCCAATGACTTCCACATCGCACGGCTGGCAGCGGCCTGCATCCAGCGCCTTCCTGCTACCTTTATCAGGTCGTCGGTCCACCTTGTGGGTGGACGTCCCACGCTGCGTTTTCCGGTACGTGGCCTCCATTCCAGAACCTTGCTGCCCCATCGGCCGTCAGTTCTGCGTACTATGTGCCCTGCCCACTGCCACTTCAGCTTGCTAATCCGTCGGGCTATATTATTATTATGTCAAAATACCACTCCCGCGCCGCTCCCATACCCCAGGCACTGACTGAGTTAAGTGCTAGACCGATAGTAGAGTTGATTGATTTTCATTACTAAATTGGAGTTGGTGGAATATATTTCTCTCGCTTGCAGATGAGTGTGCTTTAGCCGAAGTCGATGCTAAAGTAGCAACCGTTCCAACGCGATTTGCCGATTTGTGTCTGCAGGCTTTCACCGCCCGTCAGGAACTCATCGATTGGGTTAAAAATCTCATAGAGAAAAATGTAAGTGTACAATTAAAAACTATAATTTCTAAATTCTTTGATAAGAGAAGGCGCACACCGTTGATTTTTAGTTGGCCGGTGTGCGCCTACTCTTAATGTACAGTTTTAACCATATTTCTAATTTAGCCGGAAAACAACAGCGAGTCTCTGGAAAAGATTGCTCGCTACAACGCGCAGGGACTAGAGCTGTGTGACACATTGCGAGAGCTAAAGAGCTGCGCCGACAGTGTCGTTGATACTGTCACTCAGCTATCTAGGTATTTTTTTACATTACATATACGTTAGTATTGGTGTAGTACTTAGTAGTGTAGTTAGACCCTCTACCAACTTATTTGATTGCTGACAGGCGAGCGTGTCGCGAGCGCAGTGCTCTGGTGGCGGTAGGAGAGTCTCTGGTGCGGGAAATAGCACACCTTCGACAAGAGCTGGACATGCGCATCGCTGCTATAAACGAGTTGCGGCAAGTCCGGAGTGACAACGAGACCATCAGAATGTTGGAGGTGAGTCTTAGTTTAAAAAAAAACTTTCAATCATGCTATAGTGCAACCTCTTACTACGCCACAGAAAACCATCATTACGTTTTCTTATCTCTCTCTAGCAAGGATACAGTATTCTTTCCTGAACATTTTTCAGGAAACACGTCGTGAATTAGAGGAAGAGCGGGCAGCGCGATTATCAACGAAGGACAAGTTGTCGACCACCGAGTCGCAGTTACGTCAAACTCGCGTGAGAGTCACCAAAATGGATCGACAGCTTCGAGAGGCAGAAGCCAGTATAGCCAGCCTAACGGGGACTGTGAAGACTTTAGAAGACCAGGTGAGTTTACACGAAATCTTCAATTTATTACGACGATGTTTCAGTACTGATATTTATAGGTAAATGGTAATGTACTTTATAGAGTCGACAGCGTGAAGTGCAACTAGAAGCACGTGCAAGAAAACTAAAAGAATCTCTAAAAACTGGTGAAGTGGCAAGTGGTCACATAGCACAGCAACGGGATGCACTGCAAACAGAGTTAGTTGTTATATGGATCGATATTAACTTGGAACAGGATGTAGACATTAATTACTCGTATTTTTTATTGGACAGGGTGGCTGAACTGAAGGAGCAGATCGATACAATGATTGCACAGCATAAGGCTACAGTTCAGGATTTAACGAATCAATTAAAAGACGTAAAGACTGTTCTGGAAGAGCAGAAGCGAATGACCCAGCATGAAATTGACCAGAAACAAGCACTGCAAGTGTCGCTGACAGAAAGCCAGAATACTATTGAAGAGCTCAAAGCTAAAATTACCGAGCTTGAAAATAGTAGACCAAATCCTGGTAAGAATAAAGAAGATTACAATTTCCGCAGTAGAATACTACTTTTATATCGGTGCATCACTTTTATTAATTTCATATCTTATTGATTTTAGAGTTACCAACAGAAAGAGAAATGGATTTATGGGCAGAGCTGCAAGCCACGAAAGATACTCTGCGTATGACCGAAGACGAAGTGACAGCGTGCAAACGAGAAAAAGTTCGCTTTCTGGAAACAATGACAAAGATTACGGTAACTGCTGTTTCACTGTTATCATTAGGCTTGTGTATTTCCATTATAACTTATTTTGCTAATATTTTCTTTTCAGTCCTATATACCTGATATTTTTTTTACTTCATCGTCAAGGTGACTACGACTAGAACATCTCTTACTGCTCATGCCACATTTTAATTTCTAAGATACTTATTTTCAGGAGTCTGATAACAAGGTAGGTATGCAGCAAAAGTTAGCAGCCGAACTTCTAAGTAAAGAAGAAATTGTAGGCAAGATGCAGATACAGATTCGAGAACTGACGAAAAATATCAAATTAAAGTAAGTTGGTGACGTTTTGTATAAAATAATCATATTTAGACTGTTACTGTTTAGTTTGTCAAACCTAACATTGTTTCAGTGAGCAAAAAGTCGCTCAATACGAACAATATGTGAGAGACTTGCAGGCGCACAACCGTGCTGTAGCTAACTGCCAGGAAGCTCCAAATGGTATCAGCTACCAGGATTTGCAACAGGAGGTAACCAATCAGTCAAGTCAAGAATTTTGTATTTTATTGCTAAGAATGCAGTGGTGACTGAAAACTGACTTCACAGATAATGAACCTGAGAATGAGTTTGCTGGAAGCTGTGCATCGCAACGAGGAGTTATCCGAAATGCTTATGCAGAAAGAACAGCAGCTGGAGCAACAAGACAAGACATCACGTGCCCAGGCAAGGGTCATAAAGGTTCATGGTTTTTCTAGTCAATTCTAACAACCCATGATTTTGACAGACTCTTGTAAGTAGGTAATGCATATACTGTAAAATATCATGATTGTAACATACCAAGTGACGCAGGTTCGAGAAGAGCTGATCAACATGCTAAAGAACAAGGAGACGGAACAAAGTCGAGAGCTGTCTGCCCTTCAGCAGGATCTAGAGCATCGAATGAACATTGTAGGCGAAGTAAGAGGGATTTTTTTTGCTTTTATTTTATGTGAACTTTATGTTGGTGTTTTTCAATTTTCTAGTAGGTGCTTAAGTAGGATTCTAAGTTGTTCAGGCATTTGCTGCTATTTCTATAAATAACGCATGTTTTGGAAAAAAAGCCGTTTATTTCCAGGTGAACAAGCAAATCGCAGCCAAAGCTGAGGAGATCCAGGAGCTGTTCGCGACGTTGGAGAATAAGCAGCAGCAAATCCACCGGCTGGAGAAGATTGTGCTGGCGCTGGAGGAGCAGCAGAGACGCGCGCAGGCGCAGCGCACGCGCCACGAGGAGAAGATCGCCGCGCTCGAGCACGAGCTCGCAGCGGGAGGCAACCGACGGGAGCGGTTGGTATCTATCACGGACTTACTCCGACATTGACCGTCATGGTAGGAAATTTAAGACGATTTGAACCTTTTGACAAAAGTAGACTTCTTTCTAGTTAGTAGGTAGATGTGGAGTGGACAGAGTAAAATTATTGCATAAATTATTATGTTAATGATACAGATAAAACTTTTGAACTAAGTAGTGCCGGTAAAATGATGATAAAAAGCGATACGTTTAAAGCTATACTTAGAGGAAGTTCAAAAGGAATATGTCCATTAACTTGTAAGCGTACTTACCTATTTAATTACCAATGACTGGTACCGCCTTATTGAAATTTTACGTAATATTATTTTAACCATTTTGCTAAACACAGCTTATATTTTTTACTTAGCTAACGTGGCTTTCATTACAATAAAGTCGTCATTGGGATTTCAACATCTGGCTATAGAGGAGCTTTTTCATATTATCCCTACTAATATTATAATAACCCTCCTTCTGGCGCAGTCGGGTAAATATAAAAGTACTCTGTCTGTGTCACTTTCACGCCTAATCAACTGAACCGATTTTGATGTAATTTGTCATAGAGATAATCTGAGTCCCGGGAAAGGACAAGGGTATAGCTGTTTTTATACTGGTTTTTAAACAGGGACGCGCGCGATATAAAGTTTTTCTGTGACAGATAGCCAATTATTTTTTATATATTTAGATGTTTATGTAATTATTTTCTTTTGTTACAGGAAATTTCTGTTTTTCTGATATTATGGAGCACCTATTTACTCTTGAAAGTGTTGTTTAGGTAAAATTGTAGTAGTAAAAGTGAATAATCATTGTTGTATTTTGTCTTTGTGATGTATTTTTATCCAACAATATATTTTTTGAAAATAATAGCGTATCATTTAATTTATTCAAGATATTAGAATTTTATTTAATACATCATTTCTCCATGAATAAGGGAGAAATAGTTATGCTAAGCAGACAGTTAATTGGTCTTGTCCTCCTGCAGTGAACAAGTGATTACTTGATTACAGTGGCAGTGAAGTGACGAAGTTAACCCTTATTCAAATAAAGGTAGATATACAGGGTGACTGGAACTCAACCCGCCATAGCTAATACGCGTATAGAGGAGGTCATTTGCTAATTATTGAACCTTACTTTCTATGTCTAAAGTTTTATAGTTTAGGAGATATGTCAATTTTTATACTTTTTTCAGATTTTTCCGAAATTTGTCCTAAAAACTGCTTAAATTTTCTTTCTCGCGTAATTTCAACAGTTTTTTTTATTAGATATTAATATTGAATATGTCTTTATTTAAATAAAATAGATTTCTGATCCAGATAATGATTGAATAACTAGTTACGAGCCGCCAAAGTCTAACAAAAGTACAAACCACGAAAAAAAATTGTAAAGATATTAGAATTTTATTTAATACATCATTTCTCCTTGAATAAGGGAGAAATAGTTATGCTAAGCAGACAGTTAATTGGTCTTGTCCTCCTGCAGTGAACAAGTGATTACTTGATTACAGTGGCAGTGAAGTGACGAAGTTAAATGACGGTTGAACGAAACCCGACATGATGAATTTGATTCCCTTGATATAGTTCCAAAATACTGGACTGTCCTGTCGATGACATTGACAGTAGGGCGCCACCGTCAATACCGAATCGCTGGTTCAGATTTTTGCCATATTGCAAACCATATAGTTGAACGATAGTAGCGCCCCCCTGTCATTGAGTTTGGTGGGACAGTTCAGCGTGGGTCAACTATACACCCTTGCATCATGACGTTAATTAATAACAANTTAATTAAGTTAGTCCATGTTGGTTGCATATTTCATTCACCCTGCCCCACTAGGCCAGTAAATTAAAAAAAAAAAAACAAAATGCCACAAATGACATTAATGACATTTAACAAGTGTCACTGTCAATGACGCACGCTAGAAGTTTTTCTGTGTATCAACGTAAATAACTGCGATTTTAATTAAATTTTGGCTGAAAAGCTGGTTATTTACTTCTAATAAGAAGTGTGTAGTTGATACAAAATGTCGGAAAGAAAAGTTTTAAACGTAAGTATTACTTTCACTGTCAAACGCCCTGTAAAATTGTTACTCCAAACTTGTTGCCTGCTTGGTTAACAATTTCAGCGTATAATCATCGTTTTATCATGGAATGTTTAATGTTTTCAGAAATACTATCCCCCGGACTTCGATCCTTCCAAAATCCCGCGCATGAAATTGGCGAAAAACCGCCAATACACCGTGCGTTTGATGGCCCCGTTCAACATGCGCTGCGCGACGTGTGGCGAGTACATCTACAAAGGAAAGAAGTTCAACGCCCGTAAAGAGGATGTAGAGAATGAGGACTATCTTGGGATAAGAATTTACAGGTTTTATATAAAGGTATTTTTTTCTACATGAACATACACAGTGAACCCAACAAATAGCATATTACACATGTTAGAGTCGAGTTTATTTCACTATAGCATGGTTTTCATTGTACACTCAGTATAAGATTTGACATGATTCAGAGTCCAGAGACATATCTTAAGGCTCATTTTTACGATTTAGCGGTTGTGTAGATGATATTAAAAGCTTTGACATCATTCAGAGTCCAGAGACACATACAATTTAGTGGTTGTGTAGATGATATTGTCTCAGGATTTTACCAACATACTTATAAATTTTTAATACTATACTATTCTACGTATTGTTGTAAATACACACATGCTCAGTTCTGTTTCATTTACAATTTCAGTGCACACGGTGCCTTCAAGAGATATCATTCAAGACAGATCCAAAGAACACGGACTACGAGATAGAAGCGGGGGCCACGAGGAACTTCATGGCTCTGAAACTGGCGGAGGAGCAGGCCAAGCGGGAAGAGGAGGAACAAAAGGAGGAGGAAGCCAACAATCCTATGAAGTTATTAGGTAATTTATTGACAATCCCTTTAGACTAGAATACATACTCTTCTTGAGTAAATCAGTTTCATTAGCTACAAGTAGAAGATTCAATAAATATGTTAAAACATACAGGAGACTTAGGCTGGGTTGCACCATCTTACTTTAACTTTGGCCAACACCAAACATCTGTCAAATTCCATACAAAAAACACCGGTTATTGTTATAGTTACGGTCAAAGTTAGGTGGTGCAACTCAGCCTTAATAAAACAGTACCTTGGCCTGTTAAATGAAATTATAATATTTATTTGGAAAAAATTAATGGCCAGAATACTAAATCAAAACAAATGAATGATAAAAAAAAACCTTATTTAGGACAGTTTATAATGTTTATAAAAGCCCAACTGCTATTCTGAATTATGCAATAATTCTGAATCAGATAGTCTGCATGGCCTGTTCTTGGTGATCATGTGTATTCTCTCAGCACATAAGACTCATCTCCTGAAATATGATAATTGGGTGTCAGAGATTACTATAATCTTTTTTAATTTATATTTCAGAGTATAGAACCGAACAATCAAGACAAGAAATTGAACTGTTGGAGAGTCTTGAAGAGCTGAAAGAGCTCAACCGTCGGCAGAGAACCGTGGACTATGAAGGCATGCTCAAGCAATACCAGCCTGAAACTGTGGAAGAGAGGAAAGCAAGAGAAGAAAAAGAAGACAATGAATTTATTAAGTATGTATTAAGTTTAAGTATATTCTTTCTATTTATAGTATATTCTTTCTATCTTTTCTATCAAAATATCTTAAATTTATAGTACCCCCCAACCTGAATCAGTTTGTAGTAGTAACTTATTAGTATCTGTGGTATAAACTTATTAAATATATGCATATCAATTAAGTTATAGTTGATACATACAGATGTACTTTGCCACTGAGACAATAAATCTAATCAAGTGGTTAAACTGTGTTCCAGGTCCATTAAATTTGGGAGTTCATCAAATAAAGTGGTTGCTGAGGAAATAATAGAAGAAGTGCAAGAAGACAATGGCCCTCCAGCAAAAACGTCTAGGATTGAGGTCATTGCACCTGTAGTCGCGAAAATTAAAGGAACAGAGTCAAAGAAAAACGAATCATGGAACCGGAGTATAGGCGTGTTATCCAAGAAACCAGCGTTAGGTAATCTTGTGAGGAAAAAGCCTGAAGCAGCTGCAAGTAAACCTCAAGAAGAAAATACTGTGAGTACAATACCAGCTAAAACTGATGACACTAAAAGTTCAGATAAGGCAGCCGGATCAGGCCTTTCATTGTTAGCCAATTATTCAGGCAGTGACAGTGATTCTCAGTAGATAATAAAATATGTACAAACCCAACAAATAGTTTGATAATGTGTATTAAATCGTTATTGTTCATTTTGGCATTATCATTTCACTGAAATAACTTATTTGGTATAAAAATAATCTTTTATTTTCTTACTTTTCAAGTACATTACGTAATAATGTTACTTAACAATAACAAGTAGTACCCAAAACCACACTACATAATACACAAGCTTCGATTTAATCAACATTGAACAATTTGAAAAGCAGTTTTAAGACAGTTTAATTTAAAGCATTAATTTATAACAAACTTTTTCGGGAAACAAGAAAGTAACGTAGAAAACGTGAATAACAATTTTTGCCTGTCTTGTCTTCTTAGCTTGCCCTACAAAAAAGGAAGAGGCCTCACACAAGTTCCTAAAACATTAAACTAAAAAATACACACAAATCTACTGTCTCCAGCTAGTATGAAGACCTGACACTGACGTTCTACACTGTTCCCTGTTCCTTAGAGGACTGGTGCCCATGAGTGAGGAACATGCGGCTAAAGGTCCTATCTCACCACTGCAGCACTGTGGCGCTACTGGTCGCGCTACCGTGATGTTTTGAGCTACCAAATAGCTACATTTTCACTTGCCGGTAACATATTAGTTGCACAACTAAAGTAATACCAGTCGGTGGCGGCGCGGCCAGTGGCACCATAGTGTCCATAGGGCCATATGACTAAAAACTATCAGATCTTGTTCTTGACATAACTTGACAACGTGCGAGACTGTAGTCATCGTGAGCGAGAAAATTGTTGCATCTAGCGCCGATGAGGCGCATCGGCGCTGTGGTAAGGCAGCAAGAGCCTTAGTAAAATATATTTTTTTACATTGGCTATGAACATTTTTAACCTTCTGTGCGACATTTCCACTATGTAGATGATGAAATGTAGATGCGCTCCAATCCTCTTTGCCTATTGATTTGCCTATTTGAGACAGGATGGTCGCATGACGCTGAGGAATCAAAAAAGATATCCCATTACTAACTCGGCGGGTAGTGATGGTAGAAGGAAAGAAATATTTTATTTAGCAATTTACATAGTATTGTACAAAATACAAATTGCAGTTACAATTTTTAGGCCAGTAGAATTAGATTCTAAATCGGAAATAATTCCTACAGAAGATTTTATAGTTTTAATGGCTTCATTTGTTGCCCATTAATACTATCCTAGTTTTTTGACTTCGGCGGAGTTGTGCTTAAGTGGTGGGGCCCCCCGAAAGGGCCATTTTTGTGGTTTTACCGTTATACCGCGTACTATCGTAAACTGATCTTCATGACGGTTGAAGGGCATTTAATCCTGCATAAATTCATATGTTTTGGACACATCGTTCTCGTGATTATCTTCGACAAAGTAGAAAATATACGTATAATTAATGCCCCTCTCTACGTCCAATGGCTCGTCACCCGCAGGCTCCCAAACCTTGAAAAGGGCCGCCTTAACCAGCGTATCCCAGTCAAACCTCACGAGTTGGATTTGCCTATCCTTGTTCGTCTCAGCTGATCCTTAACTACGGTTACTGCACCTCTTCCTTGCACTCTCCTTAACGACTCTGTGTTATCTACTATGGCTGCCCCTCTTTCTTGCACCCTACTGAACGACTGCATTGCCTAGCCGTATGCCTGGTCCAAGGTTTTACGCCTAAATCAACTTCGTACGCGTGAAAATAGTTTGAATAATATTTCCCGTGCTTGCAACATTGTTCTTTACTGCTTCGCCCCTATTAATTAGTCATAGCGTGATCGTATATATCCTATAGCCTTCCTCAATTTACGAGTTATCCTACACAAAAAACNTCTATATTTAGTTCAGTCACTTAGTTAATATTACAATTAATATTGATGAAAGATTGATTAACCAAATCGACAAAAGCAGGTTTTCTTGGTTTGGCACAGTTTTATTTAATTTATCTGATAATCATCAGCTCATTAGATAAACGTTAACAAATGAGCCTAACTACCATCCATGTGTAAAGGACGTTTAACAAACTCACAAAGTTTAATGTAGAGACAAATAATATTCGTACAAACATAGCGTAAGCTTTGTTTTCCAAAAATCGTGCGATATGAACGCATGTAGATTTGCTTCTCGGAGCGGTATGTTATTACACGGCCGCCGGTTATCGTGTCGTGTGCGGTTTATTCATTAATGTTGGGCTTGGCCTTTATAACTCCACGTACACAAAGAAGTGGATAACGTTTCTATGGCTGCTCAATCAATGTGCCCCTATTGATGATACCTGATATAATGACTCATTCGGATAGAGCTTTCACGTTCGAATTCCTCCAGAAACTGCTTTATTGTACTTTCATTGACAANAACTATTGGTTTTAGAGAAAAACTTGTGCAGCATTTATTCATCAGAATAACGTAACCTATCGATAGGTATTTTTTTCAAATAGAAATTGTGAAAAAAATAGCTATGTCCATAAATCGCAATTTCGCTCCATAGTGGGCCAGCCAGACTGGATGTTGTCCTAACGCTCCCCGGCGCAGGCGCAGCTACGTGCCCGTGCGCGCTGCACACAACGTAGCTTCTCGAAAGATGTTCCATTCATAATTTTAACAACCACTCATTATGCTTTTCCAGAGAGCGAGATGGGAAGTGGAGCCCGAAGGGACTTGTGAAAAAATGCCTTTAGACCTCACGTTTGCGGCCTCTTTATAGTCAATTATTAAATGTTAAATCTACTTTATAACTTTATCGTATATGTTCAGATATACGTTACCTCGATATGTTCAGCGAAAGACTCTAAATTCATGAGCATTTTTGTGGAATGAGATAATTCGACGATATGAACGCATGTAGATTTGCTTCTCGGAGCGGTATGTTTATTACACGGCCGCCGGTTATCGTGTCGTGTGCGGTTTATTCATTAATGTTGGGCTTGGCCTTTATAACTCCACGTACACAAAGAAGTGGAGAACGTTTCTATGGCTGCTCAATCAATGTGCCCCTATTGATGATACCTGATATAAGTAAGNGCTGTAGTAGGTTGCACTTAATTACAATAATAATAAAATACTTTAAAATTAAATTTTGCCTTTTTTTAAGTAACCCCGAATTCCCAAAACGCCAGGTATATAATCAATAAAACAAAATAATTTATATCTAAGATGCTTTTATTAGGGTTCCGTAGCCAAATGGCAAAAAACGGCACCCTTATAGATTCGTCATGTCTGTCTGTCCGTCCGTCCGTCTGTCCGTCCGTATGTCACAGCCATTTTTTTCCGAAACTATAAGAGCTATACTGTTGAAACTTGGTAAGTAGATTTATTATGTGAACCGCATTAAGATTTTGATGCAAAAATAAAAAAATAATAATAAATATTGGGGGCTCCCCATACTTAGAACTGAAACTCTAAATTTTTTTTTTCTTGGAAAGCGAGACTAATACATATTATCTGGTAACCAGAAATCCTATCTGACTTAAAATAATTATCACCGTGAAGTTCCAATGAACTATCATAATATCTACAATATTTCAACCACATAAATAGGCTCTAGTAGAAGAGTGACCTTAAGCTCTTTTCAGTATTTTAAAATCTGTGATAAAAATAATCCAAATCGCCGTGCAATGCATGCTTGATTGTCAGATTCTCAATGAGTTATATTTTAAGGAACTTTGCATGATCACAACGACAAGTTAACTTTATTTCCCTCGCCTTGACGATGCACCGCTACATACCTGAATAAAGTTGTATAATTATCCGTTTAATAGGCTGTATAATTACCACCAATATAAGTCCACCCTGTAGATACAAGTTTTTTAAGCTTGCGCAGTGAATGAAGGATCTCTGCCTTTTTATAGTATTAAATTAATTGATTGGAAAAAAGCCTTTAAGTACATGGATGAACGGTGATCCTCGTGACAACAATAAAATGTGCCGTCATTCCTGCAGCCTTTCAGAGAAATGTGTCGACAACAAAGACCAAGCCCAAGGTCCTTTGGTTTTGCGTCCACGTCTGGCGGACAGAGCAAATCAATCGGCCAAAATAGTAAAACTGTATCAAAATGTTGCCTCTATAATTTCAAACCAGTTTCTTTATTAGATTTTGACTCACATTTACAATGTTGTTAATTTGAGGTAATCCTATGTTTATGAGTCGGGGTCGGGGATAAACAGGCCACATTCCTTATTCGTTGGTGATCGGTTTGGCGGAACGGAAGATAAAAACAATCTTGTATTGATCTTGTTCATTGAAACGCAGATTAATACGTCGTTTTCATTAACTTGTTGCATTGAGTAAGTAATGTTAATTGTCTCGACTGACGCCCACTTGACCATCAAATTAGCAAATTAATATCTTTACAAGATAGGCGGTACCTGCGGATTCCTGCAAACCGGGCCTGTACAAAAAGCGCATATCTCACGGTCTTCAGATAAATACGGCTCGTATCCCGATTTTTTCTTCGACATAAATATTGTTTTTTCATAGATGTAACGGCTTCGAGCCGACACTCCGAAGCTCGGTTCTGGGAAGTAGAGTTGTCCCGGCGCCGGCCTCTGAGTTCTCCGCTAATAAATAAAAGGCTGCCCGGGAAATATTATGTTACGTCTCGGGGTTTTTTGGAAGTGCGTGAGGCGGTGGCGGTGGTCGCTGCTGCCATTTCAGCCTGGCGCCCGGCTGTAATCTCCCAGCTTCCCCCTAATTTCGGGGAAAAATTTAAAGGCATCAAGTGGGTAAAAATGATATGTTGATTATGTTTTAGGTGGTACATAAATCCAAAAAAGTAGTGTGGTTGTGACTTGGTCGGCCAAGGGATGTGAGAAATAAACTTCTTATAATGGATATAAAAGTAAAGACGCAAGTACAGCCTGGCCGGCTTCTGTGAAGAAAGCTGAGTCGACAGCTTGTCGTAGTCCGTTTTAACTCTTATGAAAACTTGTTTTCAGTTGGCTAGAAGCTACGAAAAAACCTTTACGAAATGTGGCAATTAAAGAAGTAATCAGGAATCAGCTTTTCGATATCTTGTATAGTTTAGAAATAATCGAGTGACATCACTTAACGTTTCCACCCTGTATACTCGTACGAGTAGTA